CGAGCCGTCATCTTTCACGGTTCTGCAGATGTATCAATGAGAGATGCGTGCTCGGAATTACACTGGGAGATTAGTCGCACGCGGATCAGTAAACCAAATCAAACCAGATGCATCCGAGTGAACGCGCAGGGCAATCAAGTGGGCTCGGGCAGGACGCGTCGTGGCTAGAAGGGATTTTGCAAAAAGGTTGAGACTGGTGAGGAAACGGCAACTCAGGGAGAGAATGGGCCAGAAATTACGACCACGCAAGAGAACGATTGATGGTGGGATTGCAGGATTGTAAGGGATGGCGACGGGGTAAGCAAGTCAATTAAATGACTCGGGATAACGATTATGATGACGATGATGCCATAGCTGAATTATAACACAGTATCATCATCTGCCCAATGTGCCTGGTTTGAGAGCACAATGGCTCAGGTACCAGTCAATGGGTACCAACATCAACTCATTCAATCGTGGTGCAAATGTCAACCGGCGTTCGCTTGCTCAGAATAAGGCAGCCAGTTTTCAAAATGTTTGCCGTAGCTTTGTTCACTTGATTACTTTATTGTAGCTCGGTGAGCCTTGGGCAGAATCTATCGTCAGAATAATCAGCCATGGTGAATCCACTGCTGGATGAATGCATCGGGAAGCATCCATGGTTAGAGACAATAGTAAGAAAAATAATAATTTACATTTCAGGAAAGTATGTAAAGTCTTGTTATACCTTGGCACCCAAAGACAACAGCTGCTCTTTACGAGAGTCCACTATCCAGGAATCCATTCCAGTTTTTGCAAGAGCGACGTGCACTGCACAAGCTTTGGGGGTTGTGGGGGTGGGGGTTGGTATTGAATAGAGACACAATGCGGTGAATGCAGGTGGCGTTCCAGGATAATGCCTCTCGGCGATGCGGTGCCCTGCAGAAATCCATAATCCACACTCATCTGGAGTCCATCCCGGGCGCTGGGTCATCCCGAGCTTAATTGACAGTGTTTGGCCCAGCAGCGCTTGGCACACACAAAGGGCCCCTAGCAAAACCTGGCCTGCAGTCAGAACGCGCGAGCTGAGCGTGTGACGCGCGCTGACCTTGCGCCGTGATCCAGAATCCAGGAGGGAAACTGATACACGCCGGTCATTGGGAATTACCGCGCGCACGGCGATGCAACACGGAGGCGCGTGAGTCAGCACGGAGGGCCACAAACAAAAGGCATCTCGCAACACCCGGCGTGGAGTTCAGAGTTTGGTGGCACATCGAGAGCGTATAGCTGCACTGCACTTTTTTTAAAACCCAGAGTAGCACGGAGAGTGGTATCACAAAAGGGGGTTTGTCTTGCAGCATTCACTTGCCCTCACTACCCCCCCACCACCGTCACCCCCCCATCCCCAACAAGTACCAGTTTTGACCGATCCACCAAAAATAGGCTAGGGCAACTGGAAACAGGAAGTTTTAAAATGGCCTTAGGTATTCGTGGTATGTATTTGTTTAGCATTTCCTGAGATCGGTAACTGTTGAGAGTATTTGGTGTTAGAGTGTGTGCGTGTGCGCGTGTGTGTTCGTGTCATTTGACCCACACAACCTCGATCACTTCTGTGGTGACCTGCTGCCGGCGAGACTTCAAACACTTCGCGTGGCCTCAGAGTGCACCTAGCCTGGCACCATCGCTGTGGTGATGTCACCGTCGATGAAGTGGCGAACGGCGGCTGTTGTTATGTGTATCTGTGTGACCTCTATACCTATGTAGCTGTATAAAAGAGGTTATTACAGGTATGCACGGGTATGTTTGAATTTTACTGGTCATCATTAGCCCCCCTGATTAGCTTAAATGCATCACCCCGCCTCCTCTCGTCTAAACTAAACTGTTTTTATTTTACCAGGTAAGGTCCACTGAGCTATGTAGCTCTTTTTCAGAAACGACCTGGCCACAAATGATAGTTCAACGAAGTGGCTTATGTGGAAATGTATACAAGCGAAATACTTTAAACCCATGATTCTAAATGTGGAGGGAATAACCAGAGGACCCCGAGAAAAATCCACGCGACAGAGGAGAGAGGCACCGCTTACTCCAAATATAAAGGCGTCAGGGTCAGGATCGAACCCACGACCTGCATACCAGGCGATGTAATTAACATCTCGCCACTAAGTCTCACTTAGTTTGCGCAGATGTTGCACTTAAACCTGGCACCACAAGGAGTAGTTGGAAGATTTTAGTCCTTTCCATGTTTGACGCCGAAACAACAGAAAGACCAATAAATTGGTGTTATTTACAAAACGACACGTACAGTCGAAAGCAAACGTTGACACGTCTCCGCGCCCAAACTGGGATCGGGTGGCCCTGAGACAGACGTGGAAATTCCACATTTCCAGGGCACTATAAATAATTCGCACAGCTCCGTGTATAAATAAAAAAGCCCCACCCCTCCCACCTCTCTCTGTGTGTGAGGGTAAACTTGGAATGGCGTCACAGTGTGATACACAATTAAAACTAACCCCACTGTCAAACCCACAGCATGGACGTGTACAGGCAGTATGTTCAATCCACCGTGTCGGTCGGTGGGGGTTGTTTAACCATTCATAAATCAACCCCGCTGGTCAGTGCGGGTTGGTGAAGACGGGGAACATAGAAGAACAGTACAGCGTTGAATTGTTCTGAAATTCCCCTCTGCAACCCACAGCGAGACTACTTGACACGGTACTGCCTATGATAACGCGCAGTAAGGCCTACCGAGATATATAGATTATTTTTCAGAAGCCACCTGGCCACAAATGATAGCTCAGCGAAGTGGCTTATCACGTGGAAATGTACAGCAGCCCAATACTCTAAACGCGTGTTTCTGAATGTGGAGTGAAAAAACGGAGGACCTGGAGAAAAACCCACGCGACCATGCTGAGAGAACATGAAAACTCCAAATATTGAGGCGTCAGGGTTGGGATCAAACCCACGACCTCCTTGCATACCAGCCGAGGGAGTTAACATCTCGTTGCCTTGGCCCCCCTGTGATGAAATCGGGCGAATAACGAGGTGATTTGTTGATATCGGTGTATGAGTGATAATAATGCCTTTAATTTACACGGGAAAGCCTCACCGAGCCTTGGGACTCTTGGGATGTTAGGCCAATTCCATTATTAATGAGTGGGCTTCGTGTGGGAGGAAATTGGAGATCTTGGAGATAACCTGCAATGGTATAGGAGGAGATAGCACTCAAAGGATCATACGGCTGGATTCCAAAATTCATTGCTGTACTGCCACCTCCTGGCCAATTCGCTACCAAAGCCTATAACACCTGATACTACTGAAACAGTGTGTCCCATATCCATGGAGTAATCACCAGCCTCAATCCTGCTTTGTCAATGTGAGAGCTGTGTTTAATAAAATCCAAGCATGGTCGAAACAGTTAATAGAATTAATCACCGAAACTCGCGCCTAAAATGTACGAATGTTTCACTTAATTTGCATCGTACGTAGCCAACCGTCCTAATCGGAGATACTATATAGCCAACCTTGTTAATCGAGGATGCTACGTCCTAAAAAGAGGAATCTATGGTTATATAATTTTTTATCAAAGGTTCCATCTCTGTCTCAGCCATTTACACTTAATGTTTACGAACATGCTTTATTTAGCTAGGCGAAAACCCACTGCGGCAGGTTTGCTTCACATAATCAGTCGAATCATAACGTGTGCTAAGAAGTGTGAGCAATTAATATCTGCGCAGCAATACAGTTGCAGTTCCTCAGGTGAACACTCACGGGCCAATTAACTCACTGCTGATTAGAAATTCATTATCACTGGACGTAAACGCAATCCTGCGAATAGTGTAGTTTGTTTTTGTTGTTCTAATTGAGGGGCAGGGTGGGTTTAGGGGTGGGGGGCAATTAATGTTGCAGCACAATTCTGGTCCAGGGGACACGAAAGTTGAGTGGCTTTTGTGACACAAAACTCCCAACATCCGTGTCACCTATCGTGGTTGCCGGGGCAACGCAAGCCACCATATCCAGGGCAACGACATTGCCCCAAATTACAGTGAATGTGAAATTGCGTTCGTTTCGTGCGACGTTTTCGCCGAATTCGAACAGCGTCGTGTAAAGTTGCAGCGCCAAGTGAACTTTTGGCAATATGAACCTCAACGCCGCTGAGTTTGAAGGGGGATAAAAAAATAATTAAAAAACACGGTGGTGGGATCCGTTTGGCCTAATTCGTGAAAGACTGCAGGCGGTCTAATTAAATAGATGTTTCGATTGTGCAAAAGTGCGAGGGAGGTGTGTGCAAACATAACACGATGAGTGTCAGAGATTATATCTGGATACCGTTCAAGGGTAACCGATTAATAAACAAAAAAATCCTTCATTTAGCCAGGCGAGGGGAAAAAAACAATCATGTCATTTATTTAGGCAGTATTCTGATACCCCCTGTGCAAAAAAAATTCAACGTCACCCCACAACGAAAATTGTAATAAATTAATTTATTAGAAAGTAAAATTCTTGAAAGTTTCATGCAAAATTTGAAACCCACCCCCCCCGCCCCCCATTCTGGGCGGGGGAGGGGCACGAGTTGGTAGGGGGCGGGGCATTTGGGGGTGTGGGGGGGGCCACCAAGTCGTCGCGCGGGCGACCGAGTCCTCTTCCGAAGATTGCCGAAGACGGCGTGACGTCACTCGGCGGAAGTGGGCCTCGGCTTCGGCCACTCGCTCGGGGGAGGGGGTGGTGGGCATTAGACGCTCGCGCTCGGGTGTCGCGTGCGTGCGAGCGGGCGGGGAGGGAGGGAGGGCGCAAGACCCCCCCCCTCGTCCCCTCCAACCAACACGCTCCGCCCCTTCTTAGACACGCCCCCTTCGCTCTCGCCTCGCGCTCCCCCCACCCCAACCCCCGCACTCGCCACGCGCTCCTCGGTCCCCCCCCCCACTTCCCCCCCACCGCTCTATCCATTGCATTCACCCCCCCCTCTTTGAGCTCTCGCCCCGCCCCTCGCCCCCCCACCGACCCTTTCGCCCCGCCCCTCGCCCCCTACCCCCCGCCCCGCCCCCCCCAGCCGCTCTCGCCGAGCGCTGCCCCGGCGCTGGTGAAGACGACGCGCGCGCGCGCGCGGCCGAACCCCTTTCCCGCCAATTTTGTCGGCGATAAACAACAATAATAACAAAAACAACAACAAAAACAACAGTAGGCGACGAAATTTACCTCATTAAAGTGACGGAAGACGAAAAGGAATAAGAAGGAGAAGAAATAAAAAAAAGCGGAGTCGGTCCGGGTTTTTTTTTTTCCCCTCACGTCGCGAGGATGGCGGCGAACATGTACCGGGTTGGAGGTGAGTGAGTGGATTTAACCCCTGAGGAGGGGGGGTGGGAGAGAGTCCCTTCGCGACGACGACGACGGCACGGGTCCCCTTTCGCGAGGGGTTCTACGCGATTAAGATTGTTATTGTTGTCTTTGAACTACTGCAAGTCTCGTTCGTGCGCGATTGAGGAGAGTCGTGGCCGCCGCCGACGAAAGTCGTCTCGGATCGCGGCGGCCTCTCGCGATTTGCCGTCCTCTCGCCGGGTCCCCTATTCCCCTTTCCCACTCGCTTTCCAGACACTCACGCGTTGTTGTGTTGTGTGTGGGGGGTAGTGGGGGGCACCCCCTTGGGCCCCCCACAACTTAACAAAGCACCCCCAGCACGGCACACGCCGTCGTGAATACAACCAAACCACATCACCCCCCTTAAATGTCTCGGCGTCGGTCGGTCGCTTCTGCAGCCGATGTCGGCCCTGAGTGTGGACCGAATGGAGTGCGTGAGAGCGAGAGAGATAGTAAAGGAAGGAAGAGGAGGAGAAGGAGGAGAGAGAGAGAGGGGGGTGGTGGTAGTGGTGGTCGCCGATGTAGAAACACGGTCCGGGATTAAAAATGGCGATGGTGACACATCCAGGATAGCCGAGGGCTCGGCCCTGCGTCAGGGTTCACTTGGTCGCGACACACTTTGTTATTATATCATTATTATTGTTGTTCACACAACTCATTTAGTGGTCAAGCCCGTCCTGTTTGTGTGTACTGGCTTAGGGGTTTGTAGTAAAGGCGCTCGTCCACTTGTTTGGGTCTCTGTGCACGACCTCACACCGGGGACTTCGTTTCGGCCCTGCGTCAGGGTTCACTTGGTCGCGACACACTTTGTTATTATATCATTATTATTGTTGTTAACACAACTCATTTAGTGGTCAAGCCCGTCTTGTTTGTGTGTACTGGCTTAGGGGTCTGTAGTGTAGTCGCTCGTCCACTTGTTTGGGTCTCTGGATGTACTCACACCGGGGACTTGGTGATGGTCGCTTCGTTTCGGCCCTGCGTCAGGGTTCATTTGATCCGCGACACTTGCTGTTAATTTATTGTTATAATCGCGGTTTTACGTGGTGTTTTCTTCTCTCCTATACTCATGGTGTGTGCACGTGTGGTAGTTTTGAGTGCATTCGCTCACACTTAGTTGTGAGCGACCACAACACCGGTCGCTTCCTTCGGCTGTGCGTGTAAGGGTCCGCTTGGTCCACGGTACTTTTAGTTTATAATTTAACTCGTGTGTTTTTTTAAAACTCGTCCCTTTTCGCGTACGACAATGTGGTCACAGCTACATTCGTGGGGCAGTAAAACAACTTGATACTGAGCCCTGAGAGCGAAGGGGTCACTTCCTCTCTGCACTTGGTCCTGGTTCACTGTTCACTTATCCGCAACGCAATTGTGATTTTTATTGACGTTATTTGACTTTAATTGTATCATTGGTTGTACTATTCGTGTGTATAGTTTTTAGAGTTGTACGGCAGTATCCATTTCACACTGGGGGACGAGAGTAACTTTCATCTACTCGGCCATGTGTCGTCCACTTTGGCCAAGATACGTTTATCATTATTACTGTTTCGTGTCCAATAAATGTTATTTGTGTACTAATATATAGTCACGTTCACCAATCCGCACTGACGAGCTTTGTAAATAAAGGATGGTCAGTATAACCTAACTACCACTGCGCAACAGGGGGAGGTCCCTTGTCCAGCAGTGGATTGTCGAAAGGACCTACATGTAACTGCTTAGTCGCACGTGTCCATTTGTGGGGCTCTGAACCACCACCATTACTGATGCCTGGACCTTGGGTCCTTACCTGGTTCAGGGTTCACTTGGCCGCAACGTTTTCATTTCTAATTTATGTACATTGTACATATATTTGGAAGTTATATACACACCGTAAACAGTATTTCACGTATGTACGCGTGTAGGGGGCAGTGAAAGACCACATTAAATCCTGTGCCATTGTAGTCGCCTCCCTCTGCGTTGGGGTTTGTTGCCCCGCCACGCTTGAATTTCACTCGTAATTTGACCAAACGTTTTGGCTCCTATCTATGTACACCAATACTTGTTATACATTATCATACACATGTGCACGGTCGTTATCGGGTCGGGAATGACCACCCACGGTGGTGAAGTATGGTCAAAAAGTTACCACGATCCCGCACGACGTGGAGATGTTCACTTCCAGCAGTGGATTACAAAAGGGCCGTACATGTACGTGAATGGCCACTGCACCAGCCTGAGGTTGCCTGTCTCACTCTTGAGAGCAGCATAGGGTTACTGCTGTGTCTGATCCCCTGAATGTTGCGTCGTGGCTCTTCGCTGGTCCCAGTTCCTTTATTGTAACCACATCTGTTGCTTTCGTTGCAGACTATGTCTTCTTTGAGAACTCTTCAAGCAACCCCTATCTGATCAGAAGGATTGAAGAACTCAATAAGGTGAACTTCACTGACCCACTGCTCACTTTGAAATGCCCCATGGTATAATAGAGTAGTGTTGTCCATTCCGGAACCCAACAAGTCATTGATAGTATTTAAAAAAAGTCCCCAAATGCAATGTTTTTCTTTCAGTGTTTTTTAAACAAACTTACTGATTGTTATGTTTAATTTTAGTGGTCATTATGTACTTGTGCGGTTTCACCACATTAACACCATGCAGTTGAGACTTGTACTAATTCTGAATGTGTTTGTCGCTGGTCACAGACGCCGAGTGGCAACGTGGAGGCCAAAGTCGTGTGTTTCTACAGGAGAAGGGACATCTCCAGCACGTTGATCACGCTCGCTGATAAACATGCCAGTAAGTGCTGCAGAGAGCCTTCAACGCAACATTGAGGCAAGGTGGCAATATCATTCTTAATGGGACTCTCAGAAAAAAAATATATCCTCTTAATTATCCATCACTGAAATTCAACCAGCAGATTTTGTATTCCGTAAACACGATGGCTCACATCGCTTTGTTGCCTTAGCTTTAGACTGAAGCAATCTGGCACATCTATCTGGTTTCAGTGTTAGTTTTATATTGGCATTTGCCTCGTTGTGAGTAGTAGACACAACTGTGGTGCAAATTATTCCATTAAATAAAGACACCCATCGTAATGAAGCGGCAGCCAAAGAATGGGAAGTGTCCGAGAGAATGTCGACCGAAGAGATGGCGTGAGTAAAACAGATTCGTGTGCAGGCGCGAGGTGGAATACTGCATAGCAGAATTGTGAGAGATGGCATTGCCTTGGGAGATCTTCATCGAGCAGTGGATTGATTCAGGCTAACGATGATGATTGCCCTTCATCTTGAAAGAGCCCAGGGTTCTCAATGTGACCTCCTTTTTGAGCACTTACTGAAATTGCACGTGTGTAGAGCCTCACCATTTTGCAAAACCAGTACCACATTGCATACTTTTCATTTCCAGTGGACAAAGATGTGTCATGGGCCTTGTGAAGAGTTGTATTCAGGAACAAAAAGAAGTGTCTCCATGCCCTAACCAAACTCGTGTATGGAGATGTGGCGTTGTTGTGTACCTCTCCATTTACTCAGATCCTCATTAAAAATAACGTTGAGAACAGGAAAGCATTGGAACCCTGCTGATGTGATTTTTTTTAGATCAGTTAAGGTTCATTACATTATTAGTGGTGTAAAAAGATGCAGCTGTGGTTTACAGCATACAGTGCATTGTTCCATCAGGCCTTGCGGTTATTTACTGTCAAAGGAATGTGCTCCAAAAGTAGTGGTTATTTTGTTTAATTCTAACAGCACTTTTAAAGAAGATGGATGTTGCGTCAGTGACCGAATGCTTGGAAAGTATAATCTTCATCTCTATTGTGTCATTTTATGTAGAAAAATGTGCAGCATTGGGCCTTGTAGATGACGTTTGTGCCTGCAGGCAAATACTGGGGCTGGGAAGGGGTTAAGTTTTGCTGGAGTCATTAGGCAGATGTTTTTGAAGCGCAGCATGTAAGGGGTTTCCTGGTTGGGCTGGCAGGGGCTGTAACCTGTGCAGACAGGTCACGGCAAGTGAGACGTGCCGAGTCGTGTGGCTTGGGTCACTCCGCATTTGACGCCTGCGTGGAATAATGGGTGGGGGCAGGGGGACGGGGTGGTAGTGGAGGGGGTGAATACAGAAAGAGTTAATGTCCCATCTGAAAGAGGATGAGCAAATGGACATTTAATACAAACGTCTATTGTTTCTGCCTTAGAGTTTTACTGACCATGGCTGTGGATGTAGAAAAAGGTTAACCCCTTTCTACATTTTGGCTTAAATAGTCGGTAATTTGAGCATATTTTTATCATCTAAATGTACGTGAATAATACTGTAGGAGCAATTGCAGAGTGATATTTGGTAAATCACATTTAGTTGGCTTTATAATGCTCATAGTTATTGATGCTTTCAAGTTTTTGTAACTGGTTGTTTTCACCAAGAGAGATTTTGAAGAGTATAAATGCATTTTCATCCTATAAATCATTCAGTGTATGAATAGACAAGTTTATTTGTTTAACCAGGTTATAATTCAATAGACCAGGGTAGGCTTATTTGCAAGAATGACCTGGGAATAGGGATGCCACACTCACTTATTTTATCATACGTTTTAAAATTGGAATGTTGTACTGGGTTTTTCCTTTTTTTTGTTATATATTCTCAAATTTTTCATGGAATGTCATATTTACAACAGCACAGTTTTTGATAAGGTGCTCCAATTAATTCACCCTCCCTGTTTGTGTCTTATGAACGTAAACATATAATGGCGGATGGAGCGATGATGGTGATGCAATTGTGTTAGCGCACTGGCAGCCTCGGTTCAAATCCCAGTTCCAGCTAACATCGGTGGCGAGTGATACCTGAATTTGTCCTGGGGGACCCCCCACTTCACCATCACACACCGACCCACGTAGAGAAGTGGTTTCAAACAACCATCACGGCTGACATGGTGTGGTAAGGCCTTCATCCAGCGGTGGATTGACAAAGGTTGTAAGAGTAACAAATAGGTAAAACTACCAGGACCTGTGTAACTACTTCTGTCACATGCTGCCGTGATGTGGCTTGCGTTTCTAATGCGTAAAACTGACCTGACGCACGTTAGGTGGTTCTTTGTTGCATGAAACAGAGGAGATGGAAGAAGAAATGGAGAGTGTGGATGACCTTTCTGAGAAGCAGAGGCATCAGCTCAAACACCGTGAGCTCTTCCTTTCTCGACAGTTTGAGAGCCTCGCTGCCACACACATCAGGTACGTGAATACCTCTCACTTCATTTCAGCACCCAAGTGCCATGTGGAACTCTGTCAGGGTCCGTTATGCCAGTTTCACATTGGATTTGTGGCAGCTGTTGCAATGCAGATACAATTTTGGTTCGACTGGAGCAGATATTTACATGTTATGTGTATGATATGTTCCTTAGCTAAAATTAAGGAGCTGGTGGGTTTTAATTTCACAGCCCGAAGGCTGAAAATTGTTACAATGACTAAAACCCCCATACTTCGGATACTTTCCCCATATTTTAACCAGCTAAATCAAGTATGCAATATATGTTTTTACACCTCATGCTGTTGTATGGTTACCTGAGATTTTGTAATAGTCTTGTTTACTTCGGGCAAATCGCCTTATGTTGCATTTTTAACACTGGCAATAGTCTTTGGTTGCCGCTATAATTTACTTAGTTATATTTTGCTTGGTTGCTGATCATAAGGATTATTTAAGTTGTTCATTGTCAATGTGAAGCCACTTTTCCTTCGTCCATTAGGCTGTCTGCAATAGCCAATCAGTGCAAAGCAATTAACGTAATGCCCATTCCTGCTTTTAGGGGGAAGTGTAGTGTGACATTGCTGAATGAAACTGAAGCCCTGTCATCGTACCTGGAGAGGGAGGTGAGAACGCCTTAGAGTTAGAGAATCGTGTATCTTGAGATTGTAAATTTATATATATTGTTCGTTTTATTTGTAGACTTGTTGACTTTGATGCTTCATAGCGAATGTATTGTTTCTAGATTGTTGCACGTGGCTGAAATTTTAAATGATATTCTCCACTTTGTTTACTTTCTCGCGGTATGGTGTTATCAAAAGGAATAGTCAATGATGCTGTTTATGAGACTGCCTTGCATCTCTAAGCTACATGCTTCTTTTCTTTCATAAACAGGACTGTTTCTACTACTCTCTGGTATACGACCCAGCTCAGAAAACCTTACTAGCCGACAAAGGGGAAATCCGTGTTGGACCAAGGTACCAGGCAGATGTGCCAGACATGCTGAAAGAAGGTACGTTGAGTACATTTTCACACACACTATTTTAGCCAGACCAACGATTCTATTACCCTTATTTAAAAATTGTTATATGTCATTGGGCATGGTTTAAAATGTAAAAAAAAAGGTTTTCCTTAATTTTACTGGCATATCTATCACCTTGCTCTTCTCTCCAGCTTGTCAATCTCAGTTTGAGCGGGCAATATTCCCCAGGCCGAAACAACATCACATGGTAGCGTAACTTCTGGTTAAGGGTTGGATGGGCATGGCTGCTTGCTTCCTGTGGGAACACTGTTGTTTGTCATGTATTTATAAATATTTAACTTTAACAGTAACCCCATTAGATTTGTTCCATGTTAATTTTGGCGAAAATTTCAATACAAACACCAAAAGCAAATACTGTAAATGTCAACATTTGAAGTGTGCGTTCATTAATTGATGAATGCTTAGAATGTTGTATTGGGGCATTGTATCATCTTTGCATTTTCTTAAATTTCAGTAAGAAAAACCTCCCAACAGTTGTGAATTTTTTGCGATGGTGGTTGTGAAATAGTGATGGTGGTGGTGGCAGTTGTGTCGTATGGCTGCAGTGGTGTGACAAACTAGGATGCCCTGCGCTTTGCTTGGAAAGCTGCAGTACACCCAAGTAATGAGGCTTCACACCTAAACAGCCGAAAAATGTATTTCACACAGCACTGGCAACAGCTCTGATAAAATGCCTCAATTATAAGAATAATGCTGCTCCTGACCCATGGGTGGTTATGCATCTTTAATTTTGTGGGCAGGGGGGGAGGGAAATGTGAAAATTGTAATATGCCATTGTGAACAATCAATGTGTGAAAGACCAAATTAGTGGAATCCCGGTAGTTGAGTCCTGTACGACTGGTTCTGAGACTGGTATGTTTGTGTGTGTGTATGTGTAATCAAGGCCCCGACTTTGAAGATGACAGGGACCAGGTGAAGCTGGAAACAAAGATCTGGGACCCCGAGAGCCCACTTACGGACCGGCAGATTGACCAGTTTATGGTGATCGCTCGGTATGCCATTCGTGATCACCTAACCTTAGAATAGCTATGGAACAGGGAGGGCTATGCATTCCTTTTCTTTCGAGCCTTGTGTTTGTTCTTTTTGGGTAATTGTGTGAATATTGTGGTAAATATTTGGCCCTTTGTCAGTAAAACTACTGGGTGAAATTCTCCCCATGCTATGTTGGTGATGGGGTTGTTTGACCATACTTAACTACGCTGGTCAGTTATGGAACTTTGGTCACTTGGTTCATATGGCAGTCCATTAACCACTATGCCACTGCTTCAGCCCAGACATTATTACTATTTGTGAAACAAACCTGTAACTGGAACCATGGTGATATCGCCTTGACCATGTTGTACCTCTGTCTCTATGAATGCTATTGCAGGCAGTGTAGTGAGGCATGTGCTGGGGAGGTTGCCATCTGTGAAAGGCGTGTTACGCTTAATTTTGTCGAATGCATTTGATAGATTTATAGAATTACACAATGGAGCCAGTGCTATTGGCTCTGCATGTATACAATATCTTTCCACCTGTTTGTTCGAATGGCAGTTTTGATTGTGCCGTAAATACGGTTGGTGTATTCCATAAATGAACCAGATGTAATAAAATAATAATAAGATATGGTTGTATTGATATGGTATTTAAATGCATTTTTTTTGTAGCAGGATTTATTCAGGAAAGCTTCAGTGAATAAATGCTGTTTTTGCAGGAAAGCCCCAGTGGTTTCCTGCATTGGCATGTTTGACCAATTCCTTATTTTTATTGAGAGTTTTAGATGTGGAAGGATACTTCACTTCCTGGATGAACTTCATAATGCACCTATTCGAGGGGATAACCCCCCAAATGTCCCCAAAGACGACTCGCAAAAGCCATTTGCTGTATTGTTGTCATGACCAACTTGGGTTTGGTAGTCTCACAGATCAACTATGCATGACAGGTTGTTTTAGGATCCTGTTGCTAAATGGTGGCAAGCTGAGTGCATTAGAGCAAAACCATTTATCATCTTGTGTATAGGCTCCCTGCCTTCACTATTCCGTATTAACCAGCGTGGTGAAATATTGTCAAATAACCCCCACAACCTGCATGGCATGGGGAGCCCCTTATCCAGCAGTAGATTAACAAAACGACTGTACATGTTTATGTACACCAACCCATACTTCCAAAGCAGTGCAGCCTGCCATGTCTGGATAAGATTTAAAGTTTTATATATTTTACAAGTGCACAGAGTATACGCATGTGAATTGAATCTTAAGGATGTGTTGTAATTGTTGATTAATGATAAAAACACGTAATGCATGTGTGCTGTGTTCGTGGGTGTCACTGCCTGATTTTTGTATGCATGGTCCCACAGTTCGGTGGGTACATTTGCCCGTGCACTGGACTGTACAAGCTCCGTCCGGCAGCCCAGCCTGCATATGAGTGCCGCTGCCGCCTCCCGCGACATCACGCTGGTGAGCCTGGCCCCAGCGCCCCCTTCTGGCCCGTGTTTTGTCACTGAATCCTGTTAAGCTGAGGAGGCAAACTTGCGGCCCATGAGCCATAACTCACCTGCAACTTAATTTAATTCTGTCCGCAGCCACATGCCTACCCCTTTTAAACGGTCCCGCAAACAATATTTGTCAGCACTGCAAGCATCTTAGCCATACTAGTAAGGTATTAGAGGAACATTTCTGACCTGCAAGACTCTGTTTCTAATTTTAGCATGCATAGTCCCTTTTCTTACTGCATAGGGCCTCTTGTGGGGCAGATGTGACTTTGAGGTGTGTGGTAATGGCTGGCCCCGGAACAGTTATTGATAGTTCTATTCGCCTTGAGGAAGGAAAAGTTTTCCCCACCTTTGCTGTAAACCAATGTTATACTGTCAGAAGTAATGAAACGTCCGGTTCCTAACCTGGGTGGAGGAGATGGTCACCAGCGCAAGATGTCATCGTATCATGTACTTGGTTGAATGTAGGTTTTTAAATCTTTTAGTGACTTTGTGTAGTCCACTTGTGCTCAGAATGGATATGGAAGGAAAGTATTGTAGATTTAATCAGAATGAGGAGATTGCGATGGGTGAAAACTATTTGCAGGATGGGGAGAAGGGCGGTTTACCGAGGCATGAATTGGAGTGGCAATCAAGGAGAAGACCTCATGCCAGATGTTGGGTTATCTTAAGAGCAGACTTTTGTAGCAACTGTGAGACATGGTAGAGAAAAGGATTCATACTCTTAGGTTTTTTGGTAAAGTCACGTAGGTAGAAATAAATAAATAATATAAATACTAATTGAAATAAAATAATAAATCACAACGTTTCGGAGGCAACACAAGTCTCTCTCATCAGGTGGGACCGTCACAGCAAGATTTACTGTCTCAAGTGTGAATCCCTGCAGTCACGAAAGCTTCAAATCAAGAGAAAAGGATGTTGATAGGTGTGGCCACATCGACATTGGCCGTGGTGACATCATGATCTTGGCTTATGTTAAAGTCAGTTAATTATAATTATTGTTGCTGTTATGCTATTTTTGGTCAGTAAATTTGAATAGTAATAACATTAGGCATGGCTCTTTTGGTTTTGGACAGATTTGTTTTGCAGTACAATTGGTGACTATGTAGCCATGTATTAGCTTGCAGTTTAGATGAGTTAGAATGTATTTTCAATTCAAGGTTTCTTGACCGAGAAGTAGATAATGATTCTGAAGGTGGGAGCCTAGGTTATGGAATGGTAGCCAAGAGAACATGCCAGAGATGAGGACCACCATACATGTGAATCGAATAAATCAATTACAGTGCAGGAGTGAGATGGATTGTGGCATTCCACGTAGAAGCAGTTAATAGGAAATTGATGATGACAATAACAAATTTTTATATTGTCGTCTTCTTGTGGGTACTTCTGGGAAAGGCAGCATTTTTTTAATGTGACTCATGCTCGATGTCTTTGCCATGCATCTCCAAATAGTTCCACGCGATGGACACGCTTCACCGGAGCGCGTATGAAGTGGCGAAGGCCATCGGCCTGCTCGTGCCGCAGGGCGGGCCAGTCCTGTGCCGCGACGAGATGGAGGAGTGGTCAGCCGCTGAGGCCAACCTCTTCGAGGAGGCACTTGAGAAGTATGGGAAGGACTTCACCGATATTCGACTCGACTTTGTAAGTGAGCCCCCCCCACTTTGGTGGCAATGCTTGTAAGCGGTCGTGTCTAACCCCCATGGCTCCTAGAAAAGGCTTAGAATAGCCACATTTTTATCTGCAGCAGTGCTCATTGGGAGTAGTTGCTTTATTTCCCAAAAGCCGACCTTACCTATTTCATTTAGCAAACCTCCAGGGGCCCTTGTCTTGCCTGCTTATCCATAAGCCCAAAGAAATACATGGAACCGAATAAATATTTGTATATAACATTTATTTTATCAATCACTGCTCTGGCAGTCAAGGACACCACTGTGTTTGGGAACATGAAATGAAGAACTGCTCATTAAAAATAAATAGCCGTTTTGTTCGTGAAGGATGGAAGGAAATCCCAAATGTTATTTTGTTAATGTTGGCAAGAGCAGCGATGTGATCTATGTTAATTGCCATGCATTCTCTTCCCAGGGTTCCTTGAATTTACAATTTAAAGGAGAGTACACAAAAAACAAATATCTGTTAGGTTTTTGATATATACCTTGAGAAATAAGCTATTTAAATGCTGTCTTTTGTGCCTTTATGGCACTTAGTGATGTCAGTAGAGTAGCAAGTGAGTGACATGTATCAATGCAATGATGTCCCATAATCTAAAACACACACGTTTGTGATTTTAAAGTATCTTCTCATTGTTGAACATTAAAACTTGTCAGACAAACTCAGACACATCCTGCATGCTTATCTGCAGAAATCTTTGAGATGTATTTTCCTTTAGACCATTGTTTTTAAAGGATAAAGTCCTGGCCTGTAATTTGTATGAACAAACATTGCTGTTTTGTGCAGCTTCCTTGGAAGTCGCTCACCAGCATCATCGAATATTACTACATGTGGAAAACGACAGACCGATACGTGCAACAGGTAATCCGTTGCTTCCATGAAAAAACACACGTTGATATTTTTTGCCTTGTTTCTTTGTGCATGCCAATGTTCAGTCCCGATTGACAGGAAATTGATTTTCTGTCTACTTTTGTACAGAAGCGGCTGAAGGCTGCAGAAGCGGAGAGCAAATTGAAGCAGGTGTACATCCCCAATTAGTGAGTAATCCTTTTCTCCTTCTGCCTTAGAGTTTTGCCATTGTAGCTGTCGCACACAATCGCATAATCCAAATGGTTCAGGTACAAGGTGTTTCACCTTCTTGGGAGGATTTGAGGATTTGTTTTTAGAGGAGCTGAAATACGTGCCAGAATCACTCGATTCCCTGAGTGATTGAGGCTTGTGTTTTGATGTCTCAATAGTTATAACATGACTGTTGAAACACCCTTGAATTGCATTGTCTTTTTCATTTTAATATTTTGGTGAAAAAATTTTTTAGACTGCTGTTTTTGTATGCACTAGAAATTCAGTAAATATGCATTGTGTATTTATCCTAGGTTGTATTTGTAAAAGATCATTGAGTCTCGGTGAGTGCTCACGTGATTATAAACAAGTTTGTGTCATTACATTGAATAGCATTTTCTAATACTAAATTATCTAACCTCATTCAGTGACGGAAAGCCTCGCATTCTTGAGACCCTTTTATTAAGATTTTTATTGAGATAATTTGGCCATTCTTAAGGTAATGCTTGTAGAACAATGTGTGCAGCATCATTTTCTTTATCAGCCATCGTGTGAAGGCCTCTCACAAGCCTAATGAACATCTATTGTTCCAATCTTGCCCTCAACATTTTCTGTGCAGCAACAAACCCAACCCCAACCAGATCTTCACCAAGCAAGGGGTGCCCAATGGCTCGGGCACAGCAGGGCCCGGCCAGGCTTCAGGAACCGGCAGAGCCTGTGAGAGCTGCTTTGGTGAGTCACCACCCACTACGTCCGAGCGTGCATTAACTTCACCCATGCTGCTGCACAATTACTTTTTGTCCTACTTCGCTTCTCGACCTGTGTGACACGTGCCAATGACACTGGTTGTGACGTGCGCGCTTGTGTGTGCAGCATCGCAGTCACAGCAGTGGTACTCGTGGGGCCCGCCTGCCATGCAGTGCCGCCTGTGCTCCTCGTGTTGGACCTACTGGAAGAAGTACGGCGGGCTGCGTCTCCCTACGCGCCTCGACGGGGAGCGCCCGGGCCCGAACCGTGCCAGCACTGGCCTGCCCCTATCCATCCAGACCAGCGAAGGCACTCTCAAGTGTGCCGTCAATGGTTGTGGAAAGGTATTGTCTTCATCATCATCATCTTCATGATTTGTCCACTGCTAAATGCAGGCATTGCAGATTCGCTCTATTGGACCAGGGGTCAGCAACCAAAATAAGAAGACCCTTTTTTTCGAAATCGGTAATGAAAATAGTATATTTCAAGAACTGCAATGCAATTGAATATGAGATGGTGGTCCTTAATAAATGTTGTCACCAAGCAGTCCTTACAGAGCCGTATGCAGCTCTGGAACTTTTATTGACAGTCAATATGATATTCTTTGGTTCTTTCGATAAAGTCACGTAGATAGAATTAATAACAAAAATAAAAACCACGACGTTTTGATCGCAACACGAGCGGTTGTCATCAGGGCGACTGCTTGTGTTGCCCACCCCCCCTTTTCTATGTGACTTTACCGAAAGAACCAAAGAATATGAATACCTGCAGTCACGAAAGTTTTAAGTCAAAAGTCAATATAATCTCTCTAATTATGTTGTGTTTCTCTTCCTGTGTCTCAGTGTAATATCACCATCTCACGGTACTTACTATTCACGTGTTGGCCAATCTGTTCAAATTTGCACGATTGAAGTGTATTCCCTACCCCCAACCCACACCTCCGCTTAGCAGTTAGCTACGTACGGTTCCAAAGAAATTCAACATACATACATTTGTTATTCCAAGCATGCATATCTTAACGCTGCTTTGCATAATCTTAAGTTGTTAATTTTCCTTGTGAATGTCCATGTTTCTATATGATATAGCAGTTAATTAGCATTGATTCAAATATTTCTTAAGGTTAGATTACCAAAGGCACTCCAACCCACTCTCGTCTGCCTCTTTATTAAACCCTAATCTGCCATCAATAACGGGCCTTAGGTTATGCTGTCTTCCAGTTGTGTTCCTCCAACAGATATACTCATTTGTTCAGGGAACTTGTATTGTTACTTTTTTCATGCAACCTTTGTAGATGTTTAGTTTTTGTAAATGGTTTTAATTTGGAAGTACTTTTTTATTTTATTTAAGCCTTGGATTGTGATTTGGGATTGACTGCATCGATATCCTCTTTGGCAAATACGTTTCCATAGTCTACAAGAGCTAGGTGTATTGGGAATTTATATAGTCTTGTCCAGAATCGGCTTCGCAGTATGTGTGTTGTCGGTGGTCGTAAAACCTCATTGTAAATGCAGCAAGACGCTCACCCCTCTCATTCCTCGATTCAATGGCCAACTTACCTTTTGTACTCTGCACCTTTTACCGACTTTTTACATTATTCACCCATTACGATGTTGTTTTACTCTCCCATAGAAATGTGTTCATTTCTTCACATTTGGTCTACTGCTTCAATGCTTGTTTTTGGAGCATTCTATTTGAATTATCTTCAAGTTGTCGTGGTTCAAGAACCTCCATATTATCTGGGCAACTCTGTCCCATGTGCCCTTGAAACCTAAAACGGGTTGGAAATTACATGATTACTTATTCGTGAAATTGAATATTTGGTAGTTTACTGTGATAAATTATTCTTGTTTACCCTTGTTTTGTTTATTATTAATACTATTTCCTTAATTGTGATGACATTAAGGCACATGCCCTTAACCTCGTGACGTCACTACACATCGACCAGCCCCCTTCATTAATATTCATGAGCAGGTGACATCCTCCAAATGGACACCACCCCACCCCTCATTGATAATCATGAGTGGGTGACATCACTCAATATGGAGCACTACCCCCCTCACATAATCATGCGCAAGTGACGTCACTCCACATCGAACAGCCCCCCGTTAATAATCATGAGCAGGTGACGTCCTCCAAATGGACCCCCCATTCATAATAATTAGCAGCTGACGTCACTCCACATGGAGGGCCGAGTTGCCTCCTCCCCCCTCCTCAGCGTCAACTTACAACCCTCACTGCAAAGGCAGAACCCTCACGTCACGCGATCTCCGTAACGCTATTGAGACATCAAAGTAAAAAGGACGTCATGATGAACAAGGGATTATAACCTGAAAATGAAATAGATCTGTGTCACCGCGCTCTTACAAATTGCACGCGCATTAATGCAATGAATATCACGTCGCGGTCTGCTTTTCGCTTGCAAGTTTCAGATTTACTGTAATACACCCGTCCTTGGACAGGCAAAAGGCTAGTATTTATATAACGGCATTAGGGCAAATTTCGATTTAAAGCTTTCGTGACTGCAGGGATTCATCTTTTTGGTTCTTTCGGTAAAGTCACGTAGAAGGGAGAATTGTATTATTTTATTATGTGTATTATGTTTTATTTTTATTATTTTATTATCTTCCTTCTACGTGACTTTACCGAAAGAACCAAGAAGCATTAGGGCAGTTTCGCTAAATCCGTTATACTGTACTATCTATGCTCTCACGTCTATTTTCGCTCTCTGACCAGTGTAGTGAAGAGTGGTCAAAAACCCCATAACCAATATGGCGTTAGGAAGCTCTCATCCAGTAGTGAAAAAACAAAACGGCTGTACATCTTCATATAATTATAATATAAATGCTGTGATATTTAATAAAATTACCTGCTATATACTGTTATTCAGGTTGAACGTTATCCTGTAAACACAGTCGTAGCTCGCATCATTACAGACTGGTAGTGCAGCCTGAATCACGGTTACTTGCAACTCTTATTTCATCAAACACGTCCATTGCAGGGTAGCTGTAGGGGTAGAGGATGCTCTTAAAATTTACTGAGAGCAGGATGCCTTCCCGATTTGGCCATTGCAACATATAATGTGCAGACTCCATTTGAAGAATCAAACCTTGGTGAACTGGTGGCTGAATTTACAAAAATAAATTGGGAAAGCTGGCCTCAGACAGGGGAGAAGCAATCCATACTTCTGAAAAGTGGTATCCTTTGCTATCATCTGGGGAGGGTTCACAGCAATTATGGAGGAGTGGGATTCTTAGTCTCTCTGGGAAGGTACTGTATCATCAGCACATTTGGAACATTGCCTCTTGTTAAAATAATGGGATGTTTATTCCGAAGTTCACGTCTGGCAAATGTTCCATTTCATCCGATTTTTGGCAAAAATGTGCCAATGTCTCCACCACCAATAATGAGGGAAAAAGGCAAGGCAATTCATTTAATCAGGATGTGGATTTTTGCCCTGATTGTGGCTTGTTTGGTCTCTGGAGCCGATGTCCATGTCAGAAATAAATAGAGCCACCTACTGTCTTAATTTCTGTACAATTTGAAGCTACCCAGAGACGAAACAATCCCATTAAATCTTGCCATTATGCTTATAAATGTAATTAATTTTACATGTTTTTACTTATGTAAATAGTTTATTTGTTATATTGCGTTTATGCTTGTCTGGATGATGATTTTTTATATTTATACACATTTCTGAGTGGTGAACACAAACCTCTTTTTGGAAAAAAAGCATCTTAAATTGTCCTAATGGTAGTATGAGCTTTGTGAATGTAACATTTACAAAATATCATTGAGTGATATTTACATATGCCACCCTGTTTGGGACCTTCCTGATAAAAGTACCCTGTAAAATGTATTAAAGTCACTAAGACGACGCCTTTCATTGTTGGTTCTTAACCATCATGGATGTTCTGTCTTGCACCTCTCCGTGTAGGAGTTCCGCACACAGGGGCACCTGTACCGCCACTGTCAAGCAGTACACGGCCTGTCGGTGCGAAGCCAGGGCAGTTCGCGCGTGGCCCTCAAGACACGCCAGGCCTTCTACCTGCACACGACCAAGCTGACGCGCATCGCCCGCCGTCTTTGTTGTGACATTTTCAGCGGGCGGCAGGCAGCGCGTCGCCCTTTCCAGCCCATCAATGCAACGACCATCAAGACAGAGTGTAAGGCAACTGATTGCAGTCATCCGGAATGAACGCCAAACCAGTGATGAATGTGTTTCGTCAGTTTCCACTTGTGGTGATGAAACCTGTGTACGTGGATGGTATTGCCAGCGTATGAGTGTGTTGTCAAGCAAAACATAGGGGAGTGGTACTGTCATGGTTAGTATGCTGCGCTATGAGCTCGTCTACCCGAGTTTGATTCCCGCTTCATTGCCAACATCTGTGATGCATTTATGAACCAGTTCTGGACCTTGACTAAGTCGATCTAGCCTTAAGTAAGTACCTGGTGCAGTGTGTCAACATCATCATTCTGGAGACAAAGGCGGCCGGGCCGGTGCTACACCACTTTCTTGCGTGCCATGTCAGCCTTAAGAGGGGCTCACTAACGGCACTTGTCCCAACAGTTTGGCAAAGAGTTTAGTGGAATATTTGTTTTTGGTAGAAATATGGACAGTCTTCCTTTGTGTTTGTCAGGACTGTTGATACAGTGGTTAGATTAAAAATGTTTATTCTCAATTGCTGTGTATATTGTCTATACTGTGTTGTTTTTAAATGTATTTACGCTGTAATTGCAAATACCCCTTTTACTGATGCTCAAAATACATTGCATGGGAGACATGGTATAAATAATAAATTATGGTGCACTGTCCTGTGATCCCAGTGGGTCGAGTTTGATTCCCAGCCATGGGCAATAATTTGTGCCAAGTGATGTCTGAACCTGCCTTGGACCTTACACTACGTTAACTCGACCTTATATGGGTACCAGCTGCAGTGTGTGTGAAAATTGGCATTGGGGACACAAAAGCAATTGGCCAGAGTACTTGTAGCTGTTGCTGCCTTAATAAGTGTACCATCTGTAAAGCTACACGTAGGGATCTTTGTCATTGTGTTTTGTTGTCGTGGTGCAGGCACGGCACGTTTGCCTGAAGCAGCCAAAACCCCTCTCAAGGTCAAGCCTGTGGTGCGGAAGCCATTGGAGAGCGTGGTCAAGTACATGGGTATATACAAGACTTGCACATGTACACAACGTACCATCACCACCGTCGACCCACGCCTGTACACGTTACCGACCGAATGACCGTTGTGCCGTCACCATCACTGTACTGTAAACAAGTTGTGACATTCCAGCATTGGCGTCTTGTCAAACTATTGTGGCTGGCAGGGTTTTTAGGGCGTGCAGTAAATACACGGGTCCTCCGGTATAATGCACAGCAGAGAGGCTTACAGCACTCCTGTGGATCTGTTCTATTTTGAATGGAAACGTCTTCATAAAAGTAACTCCCACAATTATTATCAATGCATTTGAAAAAAAGTTCAACAAAAATTTTTGTGATTGCGGCAAAAATTCATATTTACACTCATTTTTGTAAAAGTGAAATGAAAGCATTTCGCACTGCATTCACCAAATCGGTTTTGATGGAAATTATTCTGAAATCCTTGGGTGTTAAATGTTGCAACTGAGATGTCCGCGTAGACCAGAGGTCGGAAGCCTGTGGCTCCAGAGCCGCATGCAGCTCTTTAAGGACTGCATAGTGACGTTATTCAATAGCTTACATTATTACGGCTCTTGAAATATTGAGTTATCTACCAAGAAATAAAATGGCTCGAGTTATTTTGGCTGCCGACCCCTGACGTATACCAAATCAGCCGAGGATGTTGCTGCATGCTTTTGATTCGGCACTTTGAGGGTAAGAATTGGTGGATCATGCAGATTTATAAGTGAATAAACCCCACAAGCTCCATGGTTTGGGGTGGCCCTCATCCAGCAGTATATTGACATTTACGTGTAAAAAATCATCGCTGACAGTTGTCACCCCTGTGTCCCCTTGCCACTTTCCCTCCATCCTTTCCACCCCCATGCAGAGGCACACCCGTGCCCCATACGTGTGGCACAGCCCCTACCGCCACGCACTGTGAGCAGTATCACCCCCACCAAGGTGCTCTCGGTGCTCAACCACGGCTCGCCCACCATCCTGGGCAAACGTAGCTACGATCAACACAACGGTACGGACGGTGAGTTCCCAAGCAGCGCTTACTAGCGTGCTGGCTGGGTGTTTGTGGTACATTGCGAGACCTGTGTCTAGCACAGGGGTGAGGAACATTTTCATTCCCGAGGGCCAAATAGGACTTTCATATACCTTTGACAGGCCACATGTACCGTATTTTTCCGCATATAGCCTGCATACGCATATAACCCGCAGACGCATATACCCCGCAAAAATAGCGTTTTGTGTAAAAAAAAATTCAGATAGCCCGCGCCTCCATATACCCTGTATGTATTCATATCTTTAATGACGTTACTGCAGCTTAATTCCATCATATTAATACAAAGTTTACATTTGTAATACATTCCACTATTAAAATCATAACGTGCACCAAGAAAACAAAATAACCGGAAACGAGTTAACTTTAAACAGTAAATAAGTAACAAATAAATATCCAATAAATAAGTAACACATAACTGGGAGATAAGTAAGTAAGCGTGCTGTTAGGCTTACCAGCATTCGACCTCATCATATTACAGCTACTGGACCGGTAGTTACCCCTGTACAGTTTTAGCACTGGTAGATTGCGCACTGCGCAGACAATAGCGGCACTACGGTAACGCCATTGCCTCCTGGCAACAAAGCCATTGGAAGTTTGAAACAAAGCTCATGGTCGTGACTGTATAGTGCTCAGCCAATAGCAATGGCCTAAGGGACTCAGCAATTATGATTCCGCGTCTGGTAGACGCTTGTTAAGGCCCTTCCCGTTGTGCATACCATAGCCTCAGCTGAAACTTTCGCACCCCCCTACAGCCACTGAAAATATTACGGTAAACAAAGTGCGCCAACTTCAAACATTGTCGTTTCATTGTACAAACATTTAGAATCATTTAAAACGTGAAAACATGTGCAATTTTAGTGGGAGTGGTTTATTCAGCAGTGCTTTCGTCAAAGGTAAGTGTTGCATAGTGGATAGTCCTACCATGAAAACATTTAACGAGTTATGACATGTCACACGTGTAAAATATTTTTGGAATAACCCGCACCTCCATATACCCTGCAAGGTCTTGTTTGGTTTGTAAAAAGTGGTCTACCCCGCGAGTTATATGCGGGAAAATACGTTACATTTTAATCATGCTGGGACTGTATGCATTCATTCTTAATTCTGTATTCGGCGTTTTAAAATGAGCAGTGTTGCCAGTTTAATACTATTCTCCTCTTGTACCCGATTAGTGCAGCTAAGATGTTTGCAATTATGTATAAATATTTTCTGCAGGCTGTTTAATTTCAAAATTGGTTTGTACGATTTTGACAAATTTGTGGAACTGCTTAGAGCCGAAACCCACTGCCACTGTCATGGAACCTGCTATTCGAAAGTTGTGAATGGGTGGTCTGTGAACAGCTTATTTTTTTCATCAATCTCCATTAATTTTACTAACATCGACACGTTATCCTTCTCTCATCCTCTTTTAAAATGTTGGCTGTTCTTCAATTTTTAGTCGTCACTGTTAGCGCATCCATAATTGTGTGTAATCCAAACAGGCAGCATGCAAAGTGGAACACAAATATGTAGGTTTGGAATATAGTGATATTTTCAATTCAGATAATGCCCTTTATGGATCTTAATGAATACATCCATTCTGTGTACATGTGCATTAGTCAGTCTTGTGTAAAACTTTAAAACTATTACTCTGTATTAAAAAGTGAATGGCTTTGTCTCTACAATGAGCAAGTTCTAATGACTGTTGTGATGCTTCTCCTTGCCAGGCAACACAAAGAAGAGAATGCTGATGCCTTGTCGTGGTAAGTCTTAACATTATGGGCAATAGTATGGCTGGAAGTTCCCCCTTCATTTGTTGGAGCAAGTCATGGTTATATATTTGTATTATCTGCACGTCATTTATGGACAGCTTCACGTAACACTTTTATGTGTCAGCGTTTCCACTGGCTTGTCGTGATTGTTGGCATTTGGGCTATGCGAAGATGGTTGGCAATGTGCATACAAAGGCTCCCCTCACCCCCTTTGGTACACGGTTTCCCTCTCCATGTTACACCCCGAGTCCAGCATCTTTCTCGTGCAGGTATTCTTCGTAGTGCGTTTCCCACAGCATCCTATTGTTTGTCATCTTGTGTGCTCCGAATTCTTATAGTCCAAATCGACAAAACTAGGTTTCCATAATAAAGGTTTTTTTTGGGGGGTTAGAGCATGTGAATATAAATGTGTCGTTAAACCCGCCACCACCCGACACAGCCAATTAGTACGGTTTGTCACGTGGTGTGTTGGGGAGTAAACACAACATTTACAATTCAGTTTATATATTTATAGCATACGTGCACGGTTTGTTAACTTATAAGTGATTTGTTTGTATTTTAACAGTTGCGAAGAATCACACTCAAGTTAAGCCAACGGTGAGTAATTTTGCTTTGGATGCAAACACCGTAGTGTCTGTTTGGAATATCTTATTTTTTATAATGCTCATAATTGTAATGTAAATGACTCCGTTTAGCTTAATGGGAAGTTGATACTGATTATCTTATGGGAAATAGTTAAAAAAATCCCTTCCCCCAGCCACCCGTGTTGTCCGACTCCCTGCCCTTGTTCAAGTCCAGACTCAAGACCTATTTTTTATTCTGCTTATGACTGTTTATGAACCAAATACACCTACAGTTCCTGCACAGGTACAGCTTTTTGAGATGTCGTTGGATTTAGACACTTTATCAATATTTTTTTACATTATATTGTGGTGAATGTATGTGTGTAGAAAGTTGATGCGGCGATATTTAGGGTTTAGCCCCCTGATTAAAGAAGCATCCTGGTGGAGTGTATTTAAACATCAGCACTGGGAGGCAGATGGCCAGACAATGCAATCACTTCACCACCCCCTGATGTGTTGTAATATCTGCTCACTAATTGTTTTCCATCGACGTGCATTGGTTAGTGCACTACGAACCCGGCGACCCAAGTTTGATTTCCGCTCATGGCCAACACCAGTGACGATTATCTGAACCGGTCCTGGGACTCTCCTAGGTCGACTCGGCCTCAAATGAGACCCGGTGTGGTGTGTAAACATCGCCACTAGGGAGACGAAGGCGACCAGGTGTGGTGCTGGTCACCGACCCCCCCTCACGTGCTGTGATGGCTTTTATAGGTACTCGCTAACAGCACTTGCCCCAAAACTATGGTGTATGGTTATATGGGGGATATTTATCTTGACAGGTGTCTGCGAACCGCTGCTACCTGGTGAACGGGAAGCCGTTTGCGGGGAGCGCACGTTTCGTGGCCAAGGGGGCCACTCCTCCCATGGCCAAGCGGCGGAGACTCAACTGCATCAATGCACCAGATGACGTCTTTTTCATGGCCACAGCAGATACAAGGTGTGTGCAAGGCTCACATGGCGCAGGCCCTTTGGTGTTGCTGATGTTCAGGATTTTTCATGAATGTGAGAGTTACGTTTTTGGTGAACTCAGTGGTTTACTGGTGTCTCATTGGACCCAAATGTCCTCCATTGCACCTCCAATGCCATTTTACCCTGATTGCTCAGGATGTAAAGATTCACCGATTAACATTTATTCTACGTGACGTTAGATGGTGCAACTTTTCCGCGTGTAGTTTTATTGCATTGTTCAAATGTTGCGCAGCATTTCGCGTGAAAACATTCAGTTGCTTTCATTTTGCAACACGGTTGATTGTTACTGATCCATTATACTCAATCTTGGCCCATTTGTATAAGACAATAAAGCCTGGTAAGTCTGACCCCCGTTCTCCTCTCTCGCCTGGGTAGCCTGGCCCAGGGAGTCCAGCAGGGGATATAGGTAAGAAAAGGCACTGCTTCGGCCTATTAATAGAAAAACAGAATCAGGCATTTTTTAAGGTCAAATATAAGGGAAATAACTCAGGTAATTTACTTATATTCCTAAACAAAGATTAATCCATTTTTTTTCTAAAAAATCTCCACACTGCCATGCATGAAATAATTAAATTAGCTACGTTCGATGTATTGTTGCCATAAAGACAATGGGAACTTCACTATGGGGACCTCATTTGCCAGTAAAAATATGATAATTGGTTCTTTACCCTTCTATCTGGCAACAAAACTGACACCTTTTTGCAAGGAGTCATGTTTGCATAGACCGCAATACCTGCAGTCATAATACAAACAAAAGAACATAACTCTGATAATGTGCACTGTCCCTGAAGTTGATTGGTCCACACCCGAGACAGCTTTCCTTCGAGCCTAGTCTCATATGGGTAACTTCAGGGACAGTGCACATTATCAGAGTTATGTTCTTTTGTTTGTATTATGACTGCAGGTATTGCGGTCTATGCAAACATGACTCCTTGCAAAAAGGTGTCAGTTTTGTTGCCAGATAGAAGGGTAAAGAACCAATTATCACAATGGGAACTTGTCTAGCCAATCAGGGGAGTTTTTGCTTTCACAACAAAACATTTTAAACTGGGATTCAATGAAGTTATGTGTCGTAGAGATAAGTGAAACTTTATTTTATCGATGTTGCATACTTGTAAATTGAGTGAGAAGGACAGCATTGTTTTATTCCATGTTTTTGCATGAAAATTGTACTGTTTAACTTTGACTTTGTGCGCTATGCATATATTTTTCATCCGTTTGTGAGTGTGGAAATGTATTATTTTCAATTCATATAGTTTATTTCAATTATACCACTATTTTTTTTGTCTGATCACTTCACAATTTACACACAGGAGAGAATAAAAATAATCAAATTGTGAAAACAATCGAGGTAAATCGAATTTGACATGCAATTAAATATTGTAATATTTGGTACATACCTAGATTCAAATCATGACCCTGAATTGTAACAACTCACTTGTACATGGTTGACAATATAAGAACCTTTATATGCACATCAGTCTGCCAGGCAGTCACGGCACCCTTGAGTGTTTTTTGTTGTACTGAGCTGAGTTGAAGGCTTATTCTGACGACAATCATGAAACTAAGTTTTTTGAGGAGCTGATCTAGGGTTATGCTATCATACTACAAATATAGGGCAGTATTAAAGGTGGGCAAAACCTTGAGGGTTTAAGATAACTCGTGCCCTCGCCACCCCGCACTGACTCGGCGCGTGTTGAGGATGATCAGGTTTCTCTCACGACCCATAGTGTGGGGAGTGGGGGGGGGGCTCTCTACAGTACCGAACTGACTTAAGGGCTGTTTACGACTGCAAGAACAGACCCGTACGCGACCAGCTTTCTATCGCGTAATTATCGCATCGTGAAGCAGGTGAATCTGAATCGCTACATCCGTTGTCTATCTCCTTCGCAGGAAAGTGCGCAAGCTGCTGGTGGCGCTGGAGATGAAACGCTCGGCGCGGCGTCCCTACCAGCGCATCGCCACTCGTCCCAGCTCGTCCACCCAGCGTGCAGTGCTGCCTGTGAACACGGAGCCCATCGTCATCGAAGACTGAGGGGGGGCAGCAGTGATGTCTCTGCGGCTGAGGGGGGGGGGCGGCAGAAGAAGCGCACCCTCTTGTCACGGTTGCCCTCGTTCAGCAGCTCCACGAGCTGCACGGGAGAATGCAACTAGGGCTTATTAAAAAAAAAATCACCATTGAGCCCTCTTCTGTCTCCGGTCTTATGATTTCTTTTTAATATATTGTTATTAATACTATTGCTGTTATTATTTTTATTTGTCATTTTAAAATGCGTGTGGTCATTAACATAAAGTCGGGTAGTGCTTTTGCAATGGCGGAATCTTCTTGAGTAAATACTTTTTAAATGTAAAAAAAATAAAAAGGAAAAAAAATGACAGTACATGAAAAAAAAACTTTAAAAAAACTTTTTTGGAACCCTTTAAATAGAAAGTTGTGTGGAATGCCTTGGCAGTAATTTGTAAGGTTGGAACAGTGGATAACCAGCCCTGTTTTCTGCCTTCTCTCCAGTGAAGCCGCTGCCACTTATTGGGGGCGGCAGTTCTACTTTATTTTTTTATCACGCATTTGATAAGTTATGATCTTCGTTTGTCACCGTTAAATTCGTGTACATTAGCTGGTGTACATTTAGGCTGAGCACAATTATAAGAGTTAAAAGGGGCAGGGATGGGCATTGATGGAGTGGGGGGGGGGGGGAGTGGGTTTGGAAGGGGCGTAGGTGTCGAGGAAATGGCAGGTTGACTCATTGTCTCCAGGTTAGAAAGTTGTTCAGTGTAATGAAGGTGGATTTGTGTTACTTGAAATGACAGATGGACGTTTGTAGTTCCAACATTTGAAGTGGGGTTCAGCCAAAGGTGGTGTTCTTCTCGTCAGGCATTTGTAACAACGTGTTTGTAACAATTTAGGTTATTAAAGCAGTTCCCCATTGGTGTCAAACTCATGCAGAAGTAATGTTTCCCTTTTGGGCCGTTTTTCACCACGGCCATGTTTGTGTTGCTGCAATTCTGCAGCCTCCCTGTTTAACTGGCGTAGTTTGTGTACAAGCGCGGTTGCGTTCGCGACCGCTACGTTTCAGGTGTGTGGCATCTTAAAAGCGCCAGCCGTGCGTGCAAAGTGGAGCCTTAACGCTTGTGACCTGCTGCAGCATTTACACCGCTTTGTATGAGCAAGGCTCCTGTGGAAGAGTGCGCCATGGCAAGCAATGGCGCGTGCAGGGCACAGAAGGGAGGAGAATTAAATAGAACAAAGTGGTGGGTAAGAAATTTTACTCGAGTTCAGGAACAGACAGATTTCTATATTGTTTGCACCTGATTCTTATTTAGTAAATGAAGCATCACCCCTGTCTACTGCTTTATAGTTTCCATCGCCCGTGTTTGTTGATGGTTCCAAAATCACACGAGTACCAATTAGAAGTCTGCTCTCTTTCTCTCAGATTGAATATTATTTAACCGTTGATAACGTAAATTTTTCATATTCAGGTATTACCGCTTTGGTAGACGTTGACCTGTGTGTGAAAAATACACATTTGCCGTTTACCATGTTGCTTTTGAGTCTCTTCCAACCGGTGGGTGTATTCGTTGGGGGAGAGGCTGCGGCAATGTTTCCTTCCGTTGTGTCAAATCCACCGGATCTTGATCCCTCCCGGTTAAGAAACGAGCGTTTCCACATTCGTTCACCTAAGCCACCTCCACAACAACCCCGTGTCGTCCAAGCCATCGGCCCCAACGAATACGGACCTTGTGTACAGTTCTGTAAGTTATGCGTGCGGCTGCTATGGAGCAGAAACCGCGTGAGACCAGCACACCTGCAATCCCTAGTCGATCTGTAAAACTCACCGAATTGCCCCGTGTGCGGCCCCGTCTCTTCTTTCTGTGTCTAGCCTTGTAGTAATTGTACATGTTCAGTTTTTGCATGGGAGAAGAAAACGCAATTTGCGAAATGTATGCCCAACCTTGTGCAAACACTTTAACCATCTGGGTTTTTGCAGTGCATTGAAAGGGTTCCTTTGGATATAATAGAAATGAGCGGAAACTTTGCAATTATTTTTTTTTATATATATTTACGGTATACAATAAATTGATTTTGATGTTCATGTGTAGTAGTGCAGTGCTTTGAACTTCTGCACCGAGTGATCAGTGGTTTTCCAGCCTGCTGCTGGTTAACATTTGGTAGACTGCTTTTGCGGCATTCGCTTTCCAACAAAGTATTTGGCAGAATTGAACACGTCGAGCCACTACCCCAACGTGGCGCAAAATGCCACACGGACCTAATTGTTTTAAAGGTTTTACATTTTGTATCCAAATGCGACTTGGGCTCTTGGCGGCGTGTGTATTATCAATGCATATGCTGCCAAGTCCAGTGGCCTGAGCTGAAATTGTCCATTTTTTTGTGCAAGTTGTAATTTCCCTGCTTTTACTATATTTTGAAGTGTAACGCGATACCTCCGCTAACTTTTTTTTTGTTCAAACGCTTGGTTTACCAATTTGAATTTTGCTCATCTGTATATACACTTTTCTTCCGTTTCGTTTGAATTTTTTTGTGTAATGGTAAATGCATTCCAGCGCTATCCCGGGAGGCAAGTGGCGCTTCAAGCACGGTAGCGGGCTTGGGCCGCTACCCCAGGATTGAGCGGAGTGTTAATCGCATGCCCTTTGGAATATACTGGCTGTTCTGCCATCTGCCCCGTGTACGGTATTCAGTAATAAAATAAGTACCCTTTCGGAATCTGCCTCATGTTGTTAAGTTTCGCCCTCCCTCCCCCACAGTCGCATCTTGAAGAAATGGCCAAAGCCTCGTTTCTTTCGTGATTTGCCCCCATTTGTTGATGGGAGGCTTGAACACGTTTTGACCAAAAAATCGGATGTGCTAGAGGAACACTGCAAAACGTTGACACGTTTGCATCGGTCGGCAGTCACATGCTTCCAAATATAAACTGAAGCCTTCAAATGTCTGTCTTCCCGTCAGTTGTCGCATGGCAGCTGACAATTGAGTTGCACAAAACCTCTTCCACTCCTTAGTTTCTCTGTTCTTGCAATGTTTACGTTAAGTTACATTTCAGTATTAAAATAAGCAGAGTTGATTTTGAGGCTGTCTCCCCTAAGTCCAATCTGGTGTATAGATGTATTTGTTTGGGTCTCCCTGAAACAGCCTCAATGTGTGTTGGCACTGACCTGTTTTTTGGGTTGTACCGCTTTGTTAGGGCATGAAGTGTCAGGTTTCAATTCGCGTATTGGGAGCTTGAGTTCACGAAGAAGCTTCCTTTCCCAAAAGCGCATGGAGTGAAACGTCAAACAACAACGCGGTACAACTCAACAGCATTACAGCAAAAACATGTATCGTTAAATGCTGGCGTTGAGTTGCCACTACCCTTAGTGTGTCCGCCAGGTGGCGCTCTGCACACTTTTTGAGTGTCTCGCTCGCAAATGGATTGAATTGAAAAACCCCCACGCGGCTGAAGATGAACAAAGTGCATTCACAGGCGTCGACGCGGACGTAAAACGGCTCGTAAACTTGAAACGGACGCGGCTCTGGCTGGCAATCTCAATGTACAGGAGAAGCCCTTTTTGGGGAGCAAATCCTGCCGTGTGGAATGCGGACAAGGGGGATGACTCCCTTGCTGCAATGGAAACGCGATGATCGTGGGTCAAAGTTTTCGGGGAACCGGGGGGGGGGGGGTGCATTTGTGTGCGTGCGTGCATGCGCGCATCGAGTCCAACAACGGCTGCGAAAAGCAAATGGAGGCTGTGACATCAGCCCGGGACACGATCCTAACCTTCTCGGCGTCGATCTCGGTGACGTCACGGGTGGCCGGGGGAATTGTGTGAAGAGACAGCCAAATCGGTACGGGATAAAGAGGGGGGGGGGGGTCTGGGGTCCAAGATCGGGTGTGCGTTTGGGGCCACGTGACTAAACAAGTGGCAGAGATGGATGAGGGTGGGGAGTGCCACTGGGATGAGGTGGGCGGTAGGTAATTGTATGATGAAGTGGGGGCGGTGACTAACGATACGGAGGGAAAGCGGAGAGCATTAGTATTCGGGTGGTTTTTTTGGCCCACAGATAATGCAGTTTACTGTTAAATACAGTCGCCTGTTTTCTATGTCTGACAATGTAAATGTGTACCGCACTCGGGCTGAATGTATACAATTGAAAGATTATGTAAAAGGTTCAGTGGTGGGTTTTTTTGGGGAACATTGTTGACATGTTTTTTCCCCTCAAAAAGTACTGTATTTATGAATATCGCATATGTGCAACGGTTGTTTGATTACAAAAATATAGGGTTTTTTTTTACATTAAGCTTGTTTTTTGACACAACCCTAGGAAAGTTTGTATCTGGCAGTTTTAAAGCGTGATGAATAAATATGTATATAATTCGACTTTTGTTAATTTCAATTTCTGAGGACTTATTTGGTGACAGTTAAAGCCAAACATTTACACACTGTGGAACAGCATTTTTCACAATTGTTTGAAAAGAAATCCCCAAAAAACCTGACAATTCCGTTAGCTTGTTCAAAAAATTGTCGAATATATTCAACAATTTGGAATACAAATATTGTATTTAAAAAGTAGGGGAATACTGAGAAAGAGTATTTGGGACAACAATTATGATCTGCTCGCATGTGCCGTCTATAGTTAAAGATGGGGGAAATGTTTGCTTAAATTTTCTGATAAAACTACAAAGTATTGCACGCAGTCGAGAAAATAAAGCTACGAAATTTCAACGGCATTTTTTTTTTACCTGAAAGCAATGCTCGTCATTTTACTCAATTTGCCTAAAATGTCATTTAAATTTTAATTCATGATGTACCACAATTATCAATAACTATAGTCTACCCACTGCTGGATGAAGGCCTACCCACGCTGTCACCACCCCCTTAGATTTTCTCGCGATACCACAATCCAGCTCCTGCGCGAGTTGATTTCGTCACTCCATCTCCTCGGTCATCGTCCTCTTGAGCACGTTCTCTCCGTTCGGTCATCACTTGTCCACCGGTCATCATCCCTTCGAGCGACGGAGTCATGTCCAAGCCCACTCGATCTCAACAAAAAGTCGGTGCGATAAAAGGCGATGTCATAGACTGGCACAATTGTGTCTGTTCAGTGAAAACAGTTGTGAAAAAGTGATGAGCAACTGCGTGTTGTTGCCCCGGAGACCGGGAGATCGATGATCGATGTTCGGTCGTCACGTTGATGGAATTCGTCGTGATTTCTCACTGAACAGAGTGGGCCACGTGGAGGCTGCCATCCTGATTGGTCGACAGATCGCATAACCTCGTGCCGTCACGTGACCTCGATCTGTGATCCTATTGGACGTTGCCATCGCTGTTTGCCCGCTCGGTTTGAGCTGCCCTCAGATTCGTCGAGATTTGGACAAAGTGGGTTCATGAACCCATCTGTGCACAATGTTCGTTTTGTCGCCCCTTTCGCGCGTTTACTCCGCACGCGCCAATACTCTCCCACATGCAAAACACTCTTATTTGGATATAGCATAAGGGGCCGTTCATAAATGACGTCACGCGATTTTGAGATTTTGACCCCCCCCCAATCGATACACGGCGTCACAAAAAGTCAGACCCCCCCTCAAATATGACGTCACAAAGCTCTGCCCCCCCTCCCCCCCGAAAATAAACATGCTTAAACTCGCTTTAAACTATTGTCATTGTAGTGCGTATTTAATGTGGCGCTATACTCTGATGTTGTAGGGAAAAACATTTATTAAAAAGTCTATTTAATTAAGTAGAACGTGTTGTCTATATTTATTTAAGGTTGCGCATTTTTACGTGACGTCACATTTCTCAACCACCCCCCCCTCGTCACACATCGTCACAAATGTTCTGACTCCCCCCCCCCCCTAGGTGCGTGACGTCATTTATGGACGGCCCCTAATCGTTGTATTGTGTTTGTGCTGTGCTGTACGTCCAGTACAAATACAGATTACATTCACGTTTTTAAACTGCAGTTCGCTCAAATTATTATGACTTATAACGCTTAGAAAGCACAGTGCTGTCAGAGTAAAACTAATTGAACTATTACCGTAAATGAATTACGCAAGTGATGACGTCACAAAATCGCCATGCCATCAATTCCTCCCGAACACATGAATCGAATGGATAACGGGTTTTTTTTGCTCGCAATTTTAATGATCAAGTTTGTTATTATTTCAATAAAACATTACTTCAGGATAAAATATATATATTTGTTCGTAAAATTTAAACGATTATATAATCACGAGGACGATATATATTTAAAACGGCCGATACAATTATCGTGGATTTTACATCGTCCGATATCGCGGTAACACGACTCGTTTGTCTCTCGGCTGAGTGGTAGCCGCGCGTTTACAGCTCGTTGCAGAGGTTCGCGGTTCAAACTCAGAGGCCGCCCTGATTAACACTGTGGGGTGTATGCACGTATGTTGAACTTCTGTCGCACCGTACGTAGCCAACCACACTAATCGGGTGTGTATTAACCGTTAATACCGTGCACCGTCAGCTTTACAGTGGACCTTAAAGATCGCATGACGTTCTCAAAAAAGTAAGGCGACGCCTGCTGACGTCACAATCCAAATTTGCTAAGTAAAAAAAGTTTCGCAAATTATCTATCTTCTTGGTTCTTTAGGTAAAGTCACGTAGAAGGGAAATAATAAAGAATAAAAATAAAAAAATAATTATTATAATATATTATTTTATTATGGATTATTTGTATTATTATATTATTATTTTATTATGTTTTATTTTTATTATTTTATTATTTCCCTTCTACGTGACTTTACCGAAAGAACCAAGAAGTTGAACCCCTGCAGTCACGAAAGCTTGAAATCGCAAATGATCTAATTGAGTAAAACCACGCAGCGACATCGCCCCCTACTGCGAGAACATTTGCGGACAATCCCCGCCTGTGAAGCGACTTTTCCCGGTATACAGGAGGTCGTGGATGCGATCCCAACCCTGACGCCTGCTGTATACGTTAAGCTCGCGTGTTCTCCCCGTGGTTGTCGCGTGGATTTTTCTCCAGGTCCTCCGGTTTTCCCCTCTATATTTAGAATCAACAACACGCGTTTAGAGTATTCGGCTGCTATACATTTCGACACGATTATCCACTTAATTGCGCTATCATTTGTGGCCACGTACCTTCTCAATAAGAGCTGTATAGCTCAGCGGGCCCTTACCTTGTACAATTTAAATAGTTAAAACATTTTGACGGCGCTCATACCAAACGGACACATGATTCGAGAGCTTGATTTGATTTCAGCTGCGCCAGCGGGAATTGTAGGGCAGCTTGCGAGAGGGATTCTGCACCAGGTAGAGACTCGTACAGCCCGCGTCTCGTTTCCACTGGTACCTGGCGTGGCACGGACCAGAGGGGGGGATAACAGCACATGTTTCCCTCGCTCTGTGCGGGTTCGGTTTCCACGATTCCCCGTATGTGCGGCCAAACCTATTTCAACCAAAAAATTCGCTACATGCCTATTGAATTCTATGTATGTATATTGGACTTCTTTCGCACCGTACGTAGCCAACCGTGCTCATTGACTTCGCTCACTCAGCGGTCGGACGTGGGACAACATTGTGTGTGTACTGTATTGTATGCACTAGTCGGCAGGCGGTTGCCTTGTACGGTGCATTGTGGGTTGGGTGACTGTGCAGTCCACGTGACACGATTACACGGGTCAACAACAAGAACAATTCTGGCCTGGACGTTTGCAGCTGTTTTAGACTAATTTCAGGGTGCTGATTCCAAATCTGATCTCAGATTTGCGGTATCACATCTCATTTTTATGCTATCGGCATACCCCATTTTCATTGATTTTACCCGAAATTAACTCTGTCACTTATGATTGCAAGTTGTTGCGAGTCAGTGACTGTTTTAGTGTTAAAATATGGTGCTGTCTTTTTAGGATAGTGTGCTTATAATATCATTTCATGTAGATATCCACATTTATTTAATATTTTTCTTCTGCAATTTTGATTGAAAATGCAATATTTGATATATCAAAAACCTGATGGGATAGACAAAAACTGATGCCAGATTTTCAATCAGCACCCCAAAATTACTTCAAAACCGTTGGAATACCTTATGCCAGAAAAGTGTGTTGACCAGTATTATGATTTGCGTGCCCGTTGTTTGGGAACGCATCTACTACTGCCGCATGAAGCAAGGGGAAGCCCGCACTGTGGTCTTGGTGCGTATGGCTGTGTTGCAAAGATTGCAAACGTACACCTGCGTAGCTTTAGCCACGTGAGAGCTTGTGGTGACTCTGAGCGATCGTCAAATTTCCTCCGTCGAAAGATCTCAGAACCGAGCAGACAAGCAGCTGACGATGAATGTGGCGCCCGTTTTTTTTTGCGTTTCACAAACAACGGTTGCAGCGCAGAGATTAAAACCCCACGCGGCCAAGACCAACGGTGCCACATGCGGGGCCTGAGATAACAACACCCAATGCTCTTTTACACGAGGGTTGACTCACCCGCTCTCTGTACTGCCACTTCACAACCCCAGGGGGCTTTTTGAAACGTTCCCAAAATTCGACTCAATTCTGTCAACCTTCACCTCCAAAGGGATGCATGACAGGCCAAAGGGCCCATGTTAAGAAAATGTAACATCGTGGCAATAGGGCCCATCGTCATCATGATCAGAATCCATGGGCAGATCGCTCGAATGTGTCCACTGCACATTTCGACATTTCTTTCCACTCTCCTCTGTCTTGTGCCAATATGCTCAAGTAGTGGTGGCCACATCTTTCTGGCACCAATCTCTCATGACGTCGTCGTCAAGCCATTCTCTGTTAGGTCTTCCTTTCTTTCTGGTTCCTTACATTTTACCTTACCGAACAGCACACTTTAAAATTGTCCTGTTGCTCTCCATCCTACATGTGTGTTCAACTCGTTCCAGTTTCCTTCTCATCGCTGCCTGCGCCACGAGGTCTTCTTCTACGTGTGACCTTTTTGCTACTTCCACGTTGGTCACTCTTTGGGTGCAGAAGCTTAGATGCGGTATCCTGCCGTAGAAATACATTTCGAGTGCCAATTAGTTTATCTCTGCCAGGGCTCCAAAGGGCTATACAATGAGTGTTACTTGATTGGGGTGGGGGGTTTTCTTCGTATGAAATACAATTCCTCCCCTTGATGCTAAACACTGCATCGTTTTTCAACTTGGTTCCCAGGAGATATGGAACGCTGGGCCAGAGGTTGATCGAATGGTACCAACCACATGCCAACGTTCACTCAACGTTAGCCCAACGTTGACTCAGCGTTTGTATATTAACGGGTTATGTAAGTTCCCGTTTTTTTGTTTTATATGATACATGATTTGTACAGCTAAATCAAAGTTAGGAAGATCACCCACTCAACACACTGCAGTTGACAACAACACACCCACCCACCCACTCACCACACTGCAGGCCACAACAACACACTCACCCACTCACTACACTGCAGGCCACAACAACACACAGACCCGCTCACCACACTGCAGGTCACAACAACGCACTAACTCACCACACTGCAGGTAACAACAACACACTCACCCACTCACCACACTGCAGGTCACAACAACACACTCACCCACTCACTACACTGCAGGCCACAACAACACACTCACCCACTCACCACACTGCAGGCCACAACAACACACTCACCCACTCACTACACTGCAGGCCACAACAACACACAGACCCGCTCACCACACTGCAGGTCACAACAACGCACTAACTCACCACACTGCAGGTAACAACAACACACTCACCCACTCACCACACTGCAGGTCACAACAACACACTCACCCACTCACTACACTGCAGGCCACAACAACACACACACCCAATCACCACACAGGTCACAACAACGCACTAACTCACCACACTGCAGGTCACAACAACACACTAACTCACTCACCACACTGCAGGCCACAACAACACACTCACCCACTCACCACACTGCAGCTCACAACAACACACTCACCCACTCACCACACTGCAGGTCACAACAACACACTCACCCACTCACCACACTGCAGGTCACAACAACACACACACCCAATCACCACACAGCAGGTCACAACAACGCACTAACTCACCACACTGCAGCTCACAACAACACACTCACCCACTCACCACACTGCAGGTCACAACAACACACTCACCCACTCACCACACTGCAGGTCACCCTCACTTCTCTATTTGCTCCACTCTGGAATTCGCTCCTCCCATCATCGTCGTCTCTTTCCCCCCAACGAGCGTATAACAACGATAACCTCGCTCAATTCAATAAACGAGTCACACTCGTAATGTGCGATTCTAACGGTGGGCTGTGTGTCGATGTTTGGTGTGGTCTGGGACTTCTTGCTGCTGTTCTGCTGCCTTGCCCTCGCTTGGGAATTGGTGGACGTATGCAATTTTAACTTGATTGGAAGCTTTTCGTGACTGCAGGAATCCATACTCGTTGGTTCTTTCGGTAAAGTGACGTAGGTAGAAATAAAATAAATCACGACGTTTCGTTTGCAACACAAGCAATCGTCAACAGGTGGCACAACTACAGCAAGAAAAAAACTTTGTTTTACAAATTGCTGTTTGTGTGATTTTCTTAGTTGTCCTATACTTTCCACATCTGTGACAAAATAGCTTCATAGCTCATCGGATCCCTCCAGTGTAAATACTGATTCCGAACTTTGCCGACAGTAGAGGACTGTTTGCTGTCGGCCGCTTAACATATTGGGCTCCTCGGCCTGTGTTCCGCAACTACGCAATGATAATACGAATCGTGAAACAGAACGTGGGGTGGGAGAGCAGGGAATACGAGTGCGTGTACCTGGTCCCTGCGGGTATCAGCAAGCTGTCGTCAGGACCCAGGGGCAGGGTCACGTCTCCGACCGCCACTTGAGAAGTCCCCTCCTGCATCGTCCGCACGACAAGTGTCAAAGTGGTTTTGTGTAACCGCGGCCGGCGAGATGGTAACTACCGCGCCTCTGGTATGCAGGAGGTTGTGGGTTCGATCCCGGCCCTGACGACCCGTGTGTATTCAGGAGTTTGCGTGTTCTCCCCGTGGTGGTCGCGTGGATTTTTCACGGGGTCCTCCGGTTTTTCCACTCCGCGTTTAGACTCCACATTTGGCCGCTATAAATGTCGACGTGATAAGCCTGCTGTTTCGTTGAGCGATCATTTGTGGTTAGACTGCTTCTGGAAAAGGGCGATGAAGCTCAGTGGGCCTTTCCTGGTAAGATGAAATCGTTTTTAGTTTATTATTTTAGAACCCATGAGACCAGCATGAGGATGAGCCTCATTAACCGTATTAAACATGTTAAACTATAAGCTACACTATTTTGTTTGTTTTAGCAGGCAAGGCCCACTGAGCTATATAGCTATTGTTCAGAAGCGACCTGGCCACAAGTGATAGCTTATCACGAGGATATTCACAGCAGCCCAATACTCTAAACGCGCGTTGATTCTAAATGTGGCGGGCAAAAGTGGAGAACCCGGAGAAAAGCCGACGCGACCAACCGGAGGACCTGGAGAAAGAACAACCACTTGGGAGAGAGACACGCAAACTCCAAATATACGGCAGCAGGCGTCAGGGTCGGGATCGAACCCACGACCTCCTGTATACCAGGCGAGGGAGCTAACATTTCAGCGAGCATTGCAGCCCAAGTGGACGCACCATCTGCCAGATCCACGTGTCAGCCTCCTCCCCGTGACCCTCGCTCTGCCCGGCTCCGTAGATTTTAAGCTGCGACACACAAACGAACGCAACACGTATGTTATACAACACAACATATGACGAATTTAAAATGTGTGAAAACCACGCACATTTAACAAATGAACCTCCTCCCACTCCGCCCATGCGCACGCTGTCTTTCTCCCTCAGCGCCACATCCCCCTCAGCCAATCAACTGCTGGATGACGAGGGGCCCAATCCACGCCGCGAGGGGTCGTGGCCTCTATTTGACCATACTTCACCGCGCCGGTCAGTGGGCGTTTGCTAAGGGAGACAGAGGGGTGTCCCCACGTGCGCCGAGCTGCGTAAACCCTTGTAACGGAGCTGGTCCGGCTACGTCTGCGGGGGGGGGGGGGGGGTTGATTTGGGGGGGATTTTTTTTGGGGGGGAACTTGGGGCGGGGGATTCAGAGGAGGGGGGACATGGGGGGGGGGGGGGGGGGGCCCACCTGGGTTTCGTAGCGGCCCTGGAAGGGGCACTGGGCACTCCCCTCCTGGAGGTTCAGGCGCTGGCGCTCCAGCCACGGGGAGAAGAGCAGCGGAGGCTCCACCTCTCGCTCCACCTCCAGCGGGAACGGGGGATCCACTCTCTGGGCAGCTATGGGGGGCGGGGAGGGACAAGGGGTGGGGGGGCGAGGGGGGCAGTGATGAATCAGGAAAACGAGCAAGCTACAGGTACAAGCCCTTCTGTCAATCCACTGCTGAATTGATGAGCTCCTCCGCCTGCCATATTGGTGGGTGATTTTTCACAATGAAAATTCCAACATCATCTTAAATCGTAGTGATTGCAACTCGATGCCCATGGAGTCTCGTAACTTTGTCACGCGTGCGGTGATCCGCCAGCCCTTGCCTCTCAGAGTGTTGCATTGCAGGCCACGCGCAAAGGAAGTTTCTCTTGAGAAAAATAGATGCCGGTCTCTCCAGCCAACAACTATTTTTGACTCGGTGCCTGCAAAACGGCGAAATCCTCACCGGTAAGGGGTGTCTTGGTCCGGTACTGCTCAGAAGTGAAGAACCTGAAGGAGACAAATACGGTGAGGACGAGGAGGGGGGGGGGGGTGACGCTCAGGCGGTCAGCACGTAATTTGTCGCGTAAGTTGTACAGCCACCTTGTGCCACCATGTGGCCATGCAAACCCAAGCTATGAGCCACTGTTGGGCCAAGTGCTGTTAAGTGTCGTTCATGAGCGTCTATTCAAGCCAGCAACGGTACACGAGGGGGTGGGTGGCCAGCACCACGCCCGGCCGCCTTTGTCTCCCCAGTGGCAATGTTTACACACCGCACCGGGTACTCATTTGAGGCTGAGTCGACCTAGGGGAGGCCCAGGACCGGTATCAGATAATCGTCACTGGTGTTGGCCGTGAGCGGGAATCGATTGCCGGGTTCGTAGCGCAGCGCGCTAACCGCTACACTACCGCTCGCCACACACAGGCACACACACACAGGCACACACACACAGGCACACACACACAGGCACAACACACACAGCCACAACACACGCAGGGAAATCTATGGCAGTGAATCTGGCTGGGTGACACTTGGCCAGGGTTGGTCTGTGTCACCGGGCAACCCAAGAACTTGGCCGAGGTGCCGGTGCTGGAGTTGGGCCAAAACGCACTGGGGACACTCAAATACCGGTTCCCTATCTCTTCTGCGATGAAGGCGCCGGTGATGATGATGATGATGGATTTGTTTTAATAGGCTTCACCATTTCTGGCAATAAGACGGTTGCTAGGATGTTGTAACCCATTGTAAGGCATCACGTCTCCATACACCTCGCATACTCGTGGTAAAATATGCGAACAATCAAGCTCTGATAAGTATTTTTGCATTATCGTTGAATCTGATTGGCTTCCACCAGGCACAGCCTTCTTTATCGCCTTGTCTCGCCCGCAGTGTCAGACCAGAGGAAGCCAAAAGGCGAACAATACAAACGTAATGCCAGGGATGAAAGTGTTCAAAGCTCATCATAGGGTTTGTCCCCTTTTTTCTGGCAACAAAACTCAAACCTTTTTACAAGGAATCACGTGTGTGCTTTAACCACAATATCTGTGGTCAAAATGCAAACAAAAACACACTCTGATAATATATGCATTGGCGTCCTCTGGTCTAGCAGCAATTGAGACGAGGCTCAAAAGAAAGCCGTCTCTGGTGTGGACCAATCAGTTTCAAGGCCAATGCATATACTATCAGAGCGTGTTTTCTGTTTGCATTTTGACCACAAGTATTGTGGTTAATGCAGACAGGATTCCTCGTAAAAAGGTTCAACTTTTGTTGCCAGAAAAAAGGGAAAAAACCCTATTATTATATTTTGGAACTGGCAAAGGAGGTATAATGATGTTCAAAGCTCGCCAATGATGTCGCTGACAAAAATGCTGATTGCGCTGAAGATGGAAACGACGGCGATGATGATGATTATAATCATGATTACGATGACGCCGACGATGATGCCAATGATGATGACGCCGAATGTCATGATGACGCGAATGATGATGTTGCTCACAACGATGATGATTACGATGACGATGATGTCCGTGATGAAGACACCGCGAGTAAACGCGCCATGCGTATATTGTCAGATGTTGTGGATCTCTCTCTAACAATGCGCCGCTGCTGCTGCTAAAGTAGTAATACATCGGCCGCTTTATTAATCGGCTATGTCGGGTGGTATGGGGGTTTACGACACACTAAGCTAAAACGAAACTATTTTTATTTGATCAGATGAGGCCCACTGAGCTATGTAGCTATTTTTTTCAGAAGCGACCTGGCCGCAAATGAGAGCCCAACGAAATGGCTTATAACGTGGCAATGTATAGCAGCCAAATCCTCTAAACGCGTGTTGACTCCAAATGTGGAGGGGAACACCGGAGGAGCTGGAGAAAGAACAACCAGCTGGGAGAAAGACACGCAAACTCAAAATAGCAGGCGTCAAGGGTCGGGATCTAACCCACGACCTCCTGCATACCAGGCGAGGTAGTTAACATTTCGCCTCTGCAGTGTCACCCCATCTTACGACCCAGGAATCTATTACGAACCACGGCAGGACACCTCTTGGCAATCAGCATTGGCACTCGGCGAGACCGAACGTAACTCTTTGATGATGGGAGCGAGCTGGATGACCAGGTCTTCACAGCGGAACCATCGCTCGAACAACACCTCCAATGATCCGCCAACGTAGTATCTGGGGTCAAAGATAAAGATCCGAACCGCACATATAGCCTACATAGACTATTGGGGCAAGTGCTGTTAGCAAGCAAGCACCTGTTAAGGGGTGGTGTGGCCAGAAACACTAACCGGTGGTGATGTTAACTTAAACGAATTTCTTTTTTATTTTGACCAGGTTATATAGGGTTGTTTTTCAGAAGCAACCCAGCTCTCACAAATGATAGCTCAACGAAGTGGCGGCTTATCACGTGGGGATGTTTAGCAGCCAAATCATCTAAACGCGTGTTTACAAACGTGGAGGGAAATACAGGAGGAGCCGGAGAAAAATCTACGCGACCATGGGGAGAACATGCAAACTCCAAATATACAACAGACGTCAAGGTCGGGATCGAACGTACGACCTCCTGTATCCCAGACGAGGTAGTTAGCATTTCACTACCGTGGCCCCCCTAATCATTTACACACGGCAGTAATCATTTAGGCCAGGGTCGACCTAGAGGAGGCACATGACCAGTTCACATATTCGTCACTGAACTCGGGCCAGTACATTCACCTCGAGGTCACTTCTCCCCACGCACATTCACAATTGAAACACGTGTGCACACGCGCGTGCACATCGATGCCCACAAACACAAATGTCCCCCATATAGCTCACACAGGCTGGCGGGACAAGTGCTGCTAGCGGGCACCTTGGCGGCTGACAGGGCGCACGAGAAAAACCCGGCCGCCTTTGTCTCTCTAGTATTAATCATTTAAACACCGCACCAAGTAAAACAAACATATGAGGCTGAGTCGACCTAGGGGAGGCCCAGGAACCGGTTCAGATAATCGGCACTGGTGTTGGTGGCAGTGAGCGGGAATCGAATTTCTGGTTGCCGGGGGTCCCTAGCGCAGCGCGCTAACCACTGCGCCACCGCTCCCCACGCGCGCACACACGCGCGCACACTGATGCCCCTCATTCAGGGCAGGTTTCTCGATGGGCGTTTCCCTGGGCTGCATGGATTCTCGTGCTCCCATTGGTTCATACTGTGCCCTCCCTCCCTGCCCCCGTGTGTGCGTGTGTGCGTGCGCGTCTCTTTGTTCTGCCTGTTAGGTAACCCTCATCTCCGGGGTCACGGGTGCGACTCCAGTCCAGCGTGCCGCGGGCCAATGATCCGGTTCGGGTTTTCCGCGGCGCCGATTGGATCTGTGCCGCAGTCACTTCGGGGGGCGGGGGGGACGGGGAGTGACTGCGGCATCCGTCGCCTGTGCGCGCTCTCTGACTGCGAGCACCGCTCCACCGGTGGAAGAGACGGAGCGGTGGAATCGGATCGCGCGCAGCCTCCGAGTTCTGGATCGAACAACGATTATTATTTTTGGGGTCCGTGTTTAAAAAAAAAACACGAGATGGATGGTGACGGCACCAGATCGTGGGCGATAGCGACGGAGTATGAAGCCCTTCATCCAGCAGTGGATATAAAATTACTGCTGCTGTTGTTGCTGATGATGATGGCCATCAGACACATGAGAGCTTGTTGCTACGCTCACGAGCGGATGCATTGCTTCGCCAGTTTCGTTTGGGCCGCGCGCGGCTCGATAGATTTGCGAGGAAACGAGGGCGTGCAAATGAAGCGAGCCGAGCCCGTTGCAAGACGAGGTCGAAACCCGGCCACGACCACCGTCACGAGGTGGTCCAGCCCCGGCCCTCACCACGGCACAACCCACCCTGAGTGACCAGCGTGGGAGGCACGGGGTGGCGGAAGTGTGGACAAATGACCCCTCTGACCGACAAGGCTTCAACGGGGTGGAGGGCATCAGTCATCCAGCAGCGGATCGACCACGGTGTCGTGATAGATCTGGGAGACTGCCGATTGACGGTGGCGGTGGTGGTGGTGGTGGTCGCTACGCTGCTGCACGTAGCTGCTGCCTGTGATGGAGGAGCAGCGAGGGGTTGATGGATCACCACCGCACAGATGTTGCGGTGAAACTCTCTTCCCGTGCGGGCGTCGAGGAGATACCGTGCCCTGGCTAGAGCAAGTGGACCAGTCGCCATCTGTTTCTATCTGTACGGGGATATAGCGTTTGTCCCCCTCGCGCAAGGCGTCTGTTTTCTCCTGGTTCATCCGGTTATCCACCCACGTGTATAACAATAAACACACCCATCATTAATCAGCTGGAAGCATCTTTAAATAATACAAACCCACTGTAGCAGCAGCAGCAGGACCCTCCTGAAAGATTATCTGACGACTCAGTGTGGCTCTGCTGGATAAATATAAATAAAGATTAAAGGATAAAATAAAAAATAACATTTTTAAAAGATCGGGGCTGATCTCTACAACCAAGACAATGGCAACATCGCCAGTGTCGCCCCTGCTGCTGTTGGTGCCCCTCTTGCCTGGAACTTCCTCCCCCAGCAATCCGTGCCGTGGGCTCCCTGCCACTCTTAGAGCTCAGGGCCCAAGACTCCACTGCTGTGCCGATGACTGCCAATCTCTCTCTCTCTCTACAATATGACTGGCAACATAACCACGTGGCCAAGTGGTATCACACAGAGGGCACCACCGTCACGGACGATAACCCCCCCACACCACCCACCCATCCCCCCTCCTCCATCATCATCCCCCCTTCTTCCCACCATCCACCGCCCCACCCCCCACCCTAGCCCCCCCCCTAACCCCCACTAGCCCCCCCCCCCCCCACAAACCTGAGGCCATCGAGCTCCGACTCCTGGCGCTCTCGTTCCACCACGAGACCCACGGTGCCCGCGCGGCGCTGGGGAGAGTGCGGGATGCGAGCTGGCAGCAAGAACATCTACGAGGTGGGGGGGGGGGCAAAGACATGGGACGAGTCGGGGGGGGGGGGCTCACGAGGTGGTGATGGGGGGGGGGACTTGGGAATGCATGAGGCAGCCGTGGAGGTCAGAGGTCAGGGAGCTTCGTCGGCACCGCTTTGATTCTGCGTTCGAATTGACGTTTTAGCCGCCTGTGATGAAACCGGGTTCTCCGGTTTGAGGTTCCCGTGAGCAGCACTTTGCCAGCTCGTCTGTGTCGGCTATACGGGGGATCTTTGTATGTGTGTGTGTGTCAATGCGTACGCGTGTGTGAATGTGTGTGGGGAGCGGTAGTGCAGCGGTTAGCGTGCATGCGCTACAAACCGGGCGACCCGAGTCCGATTCCCGGTCACGGCCAGCACCAGCGATGAACCTGTCCTGGCGAACAGCACTTGCCCCAACAGTCCGTTAAGTCTATACGGGCGATCTTTGTATTTGTTTGGAGTAGTAGCCTCGAGGTCAATGCACTGTAGTCAATTGATGGTCTCGGCTCGGGCACCAATGGCTCACGTGGAGAAGCACGTGTTCACACCGAGGCCCACAGACTCACTCGGAGATCCATAGACTCTCGACATCTATTCTAGATTTGAAGCTTTCGTGACTGCAAGGATTCATATTCTTTTTCCGGTAAAGTCACGTAGGTAAAAATTTAAATTAATAAAAGTACAATACAAATAAAATAAAAATCACGACGTTTCAGAGGCAACACATGCTTCCGTCTTCAGGTGGAACCATCACAGGTGGAACCATCACAGCACGATAGCTGATACAGCTATCGTGCTGTGACGGTTCCACCTGAAGACGGAAGCTTGTGTTGCCTCCGAAACGTCGTGATTTTTATTTTTATTTTACTTTTATTAATTTAAATTTTTTACCTACGTGACTTTACCGAAAAAAACCTAAGAATATGAATCTCTACATCTAGACGTCGTCATTGCGATGAACACCGGGTTCACGAGTGGAGCGAGTTGATTGTCTGTACCCGGTCGCCGATAACTTGCGTGGCAACGCGTAGACTCACGTAGAGTTCCATGGACTTACACAGAGACCTCTGCACTGACAAAAAGCCAATGTCATTGAAACCAGACTCCCCAATGAATTGACAGTCCGTGGTCTCAACCATGCTACCAATGGCTGCACGCACAACTCCACGATTTTACAATCGGATAATTAACGACCATGGGGGACGTCACCCCCCTATGTATTTAGACGCGTTAACAAAAGCGCCTTGGGCAGAATGAGCGGCGTTCGTGAGTTGAGTTCATCAGCGGGCTCGTGAACTCAAAGATCACGAACGGCTGCGTCTTGGCGAAGGCGGAGCGCCCCTGCAAGCGTTGAAATGTTCGAGACCGTGAGCGCAGTGATGCTGCGACTAGGCAAGAGGAGCAAGCCCGAGGTGCGGCCGCGTGAGACAAATCAAACATTGGGGTCTCGCGTGACCGCTTGCCCCACCGCCTGAGCTGATAATGTCAGCGCCGCGGTGGCTAGGAGATGTTAACTCCCTCGCCTGGTATACAGGAGGTCGTGGATTCGATCCCGACTCCGACGCCTGCTGTATATTTGGAGTTTGCGTGTCTCTCTCGCCGTGGTCATGTGGATTTTTTTTCTCCGGGTTCTCTGGGGTTTCCCTCCGCATTTAGAATCAACGTGCGTTTAGATTAGTGGTTACTAACCTTTACTGAAGCCATGCACCCCTTTGGTTCTTAATCTTTAAATAAATTATGGTGTTAATACATACATTGGTTTTGTTTCGATTTAAATATTTCGTGACTGCAGGGATTCATATTATTGGTTGATTTGGTAAAGTCACGTAAAAGGAAAATATTAAAATAATAACAATAAAACAATACAATTCTCACGACGTTTCGATTGCAACACAAGCAATCATCATCAGGTGTAAAAACGTCGTGAGAATTTTATTGTTTTTAATTGTATTATTTCCCTTCTACATTGGTTTTGATTAAACAAATTAGTTGTAACTTACGTGGCCGTGCTTAATTTGTGTTTTTGATGATTTACCTTCTAAAAACAATATCTGGCCTTGCCTCGCACCCCCAGAAAGGGCATCTCACACCCCCAGGGGGCGCAGCGTGCAGCCGAGGTGCAGATCCACTGGTTTAGAGCGAGGCAGCTCAGTGGGCCACACCTGGTTTAAAGATAATTGTTTTTTAAATCCTTTATATTAAGTTCGCTTGCTTGCTTGCGCGCTTACGACCGTGCAAATCTTTCGGTCGTTTTTTAACCCACTTCCCGTGATCCAATCGAGCTAACATTTTGCGTGACAATTTATTTTCGTGAAAACATTTTTCCAAAATTTTCCACTTTTTAGGAACTTTTCTTTTCATATTTTATTAAAAATACCAATGTGATAAAAATGAAACTCTTACTCAAGAAAAACAGAGATGAATAATACAATAAAACCGATGCCACGCATATAAAGGATCTATAGTGAAAAACTTTGTTTTTACGGGTTAATTTTTTACCCTTTAATCTGGCAACAAAACTGACACCTTTTATTTTTATATTTACAAGGAGTCATGTTTGCATTGACCACAATACCTGCAGTCGGAATGCAAACAAAAAACACAACTCTGATAATGTATGCACTGTCCTTGAAGTTGATTGGTCCAAACCCGAGACAGCTTTCCTTAGAGCCTAGTCTCACATGGTGTTGGACCAGATGACGCCAAAAGTCGCACTTTTTTGTTTGCATTCCGACTGCAGGTATTGTGGTCAATGCAAACACGACTCCTTGTAAAAAAAAGTGTCAGTTTTGTTGCCAGATAAAAGGGTAAAAAAACAATTATCATATTTTGCTACTGGCAAATGAGGTTCCAATGCTGGTTTAAAGAGTTTAGTAGTTTAGTGTAGTTTCCGCGCCACTGGGGGGTCACCGAGCAACGGCTCCTCACCTCTCCCTCCTTGATGTGGATGTCCCGCCTCTGGCCGCGCTCCATTATCTTCAGACACATGTCGCCCTCGATCTGGAAGAAGAGCTGCTCGCCACAGAGCGGTGGGCAACACAAACACAGCGAGAGACGCGAAGGGCTCCCGTGTCATCTCAACAGACCGCTGGCAGGAGGAGGAGGTGGGAGAACTGTGAGCGAGCGCCGATCACATCAGGCGCGGCGTAGGACGGGGTGGTGCGGTAAGGGACCCACGGTAAGGAACCCACGGTAAGGGACCCAGGCTAAGGGACTCAGGGTAAGGTACTCAGGGTAAGGGACTCATGGTAAGGAACCCACGCTTGGTCGCCTTTGTTTTGTCTACCCCACCGGTGCTGACGTTTACACACCGTCCGCACCAGCAACTCATTCGAGGCTCAGTCGACCTAGGGGAGGACCCAAGACGGGTTTAGATGTTCGTCACTGGTGTTGGCCGTGAACGTGAATCGAACCTGGGTGGCCGGGTTAGTAGCGCAGCGCCACCGCTCCCCACACACACACACGTGCCCCGCCCCTCGCACCCCCCACCCCGTGGTGATGGTGGTGGTGGTGGCATTGACAGATTTGGCTGCGATGAAATTTGAATCTGGACCTTGATCGTTGCAAATCATTGTGGCTCTCTGAGGATTTACTAGAGCACAACATTGGTCAAGGTGTTGCCGTATGGAATGGGGAAAACATATTTACACGTTTGTCTTGAATCATATGCAGCATGGCGTGAGTTGACGCAGGTGAATTAGTAACTCGAGGGTACACGTGAACTGTGGACTGATAGGGAGAGTATGAACAGCGATCGCCATGAAGCTGCTATTCAACAACAAAATATATTCGTCGAATATCTTGACTGGCTGCTGGCTGGGCCTCCTCTCCACGCCGACGATAGTTCTACTAATAGGGGGTTTCCCCTTTTTTCTGGCAACAAAACTGACACCTTTTGCCACCGAAACTAGCTTGGTAGCTGGCCACGTGGGTTGTTCTGCGTAACAAATCAACACCGAGTTGAGCTGAAACGGCGGAAGAAGGAGGAGTTGGGAAGACGTCGCAAAGATTATAAAAAAATAGATAGCGACACCGAAGAGGCGGGACAACGAACACAGCAGACTTACGACGGTTCAATTTCGATTTAAAGCTTTCGTGACTGCAGCGATTCATCTTCTTGGTTCTTTCGGTAAAGTCACGTAGAAGGAAAATAATAAAATAATAAAAATAAAATATAATAAAATAATTCTCACGACGTTTCGGCCACAACGCAAGCAGCCGTCTGTCTACTTGACAGACCTGTTCTCCACCTGAAGACGGCTGCTTGCGTTGTTGCCGAAACGTCGTGAGAATTATTTTATTATGTTTTATTTTTATTATTTTATTATTTTCCTTCAACGTGACTTTACCGAAAGAACCAAGAAGATTACCACGGTTCATTTAACAATGCTCCTCCTGATTTAATTCATCTTATACCTACGTGACTTTACCGAAAGAACCAAAGAGTATGGATCATTGCAGTCACGAAAACTTCCAATCTAAAATTGCTCTACCTTTTCAATCTGTGCTCCTACTAATGTTCGAGCCCGCACTCGGGCCTGGCTCTCAAGAGACGCGCCGCTGTGCTCACAGCACACGGAGAAAGGCTGCGACTCCCCATTGCTTATTAAGTTCTAGAGCAGTGGTCTTCACCAAGTTCTACAGCAGTGTTCTTCACTAAGTTCTAGGGCAGTGGTCTTCACTAAGTTATAGGGCAGTGGTTTTCACCAAGTTCTACAGCAGTGGTCTTCACTAAGTTCTACAGCAGTGGTCTTCACTAAGTTCTAGGGCAGTGTTCTTCACTAAGTTCTACAGCAGTGTTCTTCACTAAGTTCTAGAGCAGTGTTCTTCACTAAGTTCTAGGGCAGTGTTCTTTACTAAGTTCTAGAGCAGTGTTCTTCACTAAGTTCTAGAGCAGTGGTCTTCACTAAGTTCCAGAGCAGTGGTCTTCACTAAGTTCTAGAGCAGAGTTCTTCACTAAGTTCTAGAGCAGTGGTCTTCACTAAGTTCTACAGCAGTGTCCTTCACTAAGTTCTACAGCAGTGGTCTTCACTAAGTTCTAGAGCAGTGTTCTTCACTAAGTTCTACAGCCGTGTTCTTCACTAAGTTCTAGGGCAGTGTTCTTCACTAAGTTCTAGGGCAGTGTTCTTCACTAAGTTCTACAGCAGTGTTCTTCACTAAGTTCTAGGGCAGTGGTCTTCACTAAGTTCTAGAGCAGTGGTCTTCACCAAGTTCTACAGCAGTGGTCTTCACTACGTTCTAGAGCAGTGTTCTTCACTAAGTTCTACAGCAGTGTTCTTCACTAAGTTCTAGGGCAGTGGTCTTCACTAAGTTCTAGAGCAGTGGTCTTCACTAAGTTCTAGAGCAGTGGTCTTCACTAAGTTCTAGAGCAGTGTTCTTCACTAAGTTCTACAGCAGTGTTCTTCACTAAGTTCTAGAGCAGAGTTCTTCACTAAGTTCTACAGCAGTGTTCTTCACTAAGTTCTACAGCAGTGTTCTTCACCAAGTTCTACAGCAGTGTTCTTCACTAAGTTCTAGAGCAGAGTTCTTCACTAAGTTCTACAGCAGTGTTCTTCACTAAGTTCTACAGCAGTGTTCTTCAATTTCGCCAATAAGATATCATCAGTGTGAGGTCCGCCACAAATTTTAAACCATTGTCAAGGGGTTTGACAGCAGCAGGATGACGATGGTGATGGGCCGTGTTGTCACTCCTCGCGGACTGTCCGGGGCGCCGCACGTCAGAGGCCGCTCTAGAGGCCACCAGGGACCGCCAGTGGCCGGCGGGCCTTGCGATGAAGACCGCTGCCTTACAGCGTGCGTGACTCCTCCCGCATCCACTCCCTCTCTCCCACTCACTGCTGTATTCTCTCTCTCTCGCTCTCCTCGCTCGCTCTCTTTCTCAGGTATCCTCCCGTGCGGCTGAATGTCCTTTGCAAGTTCAGTTGGGTGTGGGCTACAAATGTTTATTCCATCCTCGCGTACGATGGCAAAATGTATGTATATACGTGTACAGGAGCTAAATGGAAATGCCGAGCTCTGGTAGTTTAAATGTGAAAACATGTTACTTCGAAAATTCAATCACTCATTCACAATGTTCTCTTAATTTTTTCTGAATGCATGAATTCAGTTTTCTACCAATGTGTTTAACAATTTAGTCACACTGAACTATTTTCTTTTTCACCAGGTAAGGATCACTGAGTTATCGATCTCTATTTCAGAAGCGACATGGCTATCACAGATGATAGGTCAACGAAGCGCCTAATCACGTGGACATTCAAAGCGCCAAACAATCGAAACGCGTGATGTCGATTCTAAACGTGGAGAGAAAACCCTGAGAGATGATGATGAGAGAGAGAGAGAGACGCAAACTCCAAATATACAGCAGCAGGCGTCAGGGTCGGGATCGAACCCACGACCTCCTGCGTACCAGGCGAGGTAGTCAACATCTCGACGTGGTCTGGAGGGCTTCGCCTTCAGTAGAAGGGGGGTGTGGTGGAGGTTGACCCCCACCCCCCACCCTCTGACGTAACGTTCTAACCCCCCCTCCCCCCCCGTGGATTACCTCTTCGCCCTCCTCGATGTGGTAATCCTCGCGCTGGTTGGGCCCACCCACGAACATCACCTTGAGCTGGGCCGCGTGCCTGGGGGGGGGGCAGTGACGTCATTTCAATAAAAATAATAATTATATAACGACGCAATGGCCGATCCACACTCGAAGGAGACATCGCGGGGGTACAGCATCAGAATCTTGCGTTTACACTGGAGGAATCCGATGAGTGATGAAGCTCTGTCGTTGCAACAACAAACAGTACAGACACGCGGTAGGAGTTCAAAGTACAAGAAAGGTAAACAAATGACCCCAAACAACATACAAAGAAAAACTAAACCACCCCTCTCCTACCAGGCAAAGCCCACTGAGGTATCAACTTCTTGTTCAGTAGCGACCTGGCCACAAATGATAGCTCAATCAAGAAGCTTATCATATTGGACATTTATAGCAGCAAAACTATCTGAATACTCGAGACGCATGCTTCTAAATGTGGAGGAGCCGGAGAAAGAAAACAAAACCATCCAGGCGTTAGGGTCGGGATCGAATCCCTGACCTCCTTGCATACCAGGCGAAGAAGATAACATCACACCGCTGCTCCTGCCGCAGGTAACTGGCTGAACCACCTCAATGTGAAAGTGTAGCTGTTACTCTGCAGCTCCATCAGCCATACGAAAGAAAGAACAAGAAGAAGATTAACCAGCCATACCCCCCACACACACACCCCTAACGAACGCTAACCATGACCCCTAACGCGAGCATTGTTCTTTCAGAACGGGACAAACATCGCCACGTGGCAGGGCCCTCCTGGAAAACGGGTCACGAGACTCAATGAGGCTTACAAAATCGTCGTTATTTCCACGAAGGTCAAAGTATATCGCCCATTTACGAATGGTGATGTTATTGTTTTTTTTTGGACGTCTCATAAAATTCACGACGGATTAGGTGTGGAGGAAATGTCCAAATCATGCACAGCCCCCAACCAGTGGACCTCTCGCTCTGTCAGTCAATCACATGCCACCAACTCGTGACTAGCGGTGACCGAGAACATGTGTCAGCATGCGGCACACCCACATCCAGTATACATCTCGCTCTGGCCGTGGTTCCCATTGCGGTGCCTAATCACTGAGAAATCAACGAAGGCCACCCCGTGTGAGTGCATGTCGCTGTAAGCCCACCGATCATCCCGAGTCGGCGTCACTCACATTAATTTATTGCACACGGGAGGAGTGAAGAAACGCGAATTCTCCTCGATCCACCTTCTCACGGCCACCACCTGAAGCTCCATGAACCAAGATGACCACCAAATTCACCGGAAACGCCACCACCACCAACTTCACCAGAAACTCCACCACCACCAAATTCACCGGAAACTCTACCACCACCAACTTCACCAGAAACTCTACCACCACCAACTTCACCAGAAACTCTACCACCACCACCAACTTCACCAGAAATTCCACCACCACCAACTTCACCAGAAACTCTACCACCACCAACTTCACCAGAAACTCCACCACCACCAACTTCACCAGAAACTCCACCACGAACAACTTCACCAACTTCACCACTAACTCCACCACCACCAACTTCACCAAAAAACTCCACCACCACCAACTTCACCGGAAACGCCACCACCACCAACTTCACCAGAAACTTCACCACGAACAACTTCACCAACTTCACCACTAACTCCACCACCACTACCAACTTCACCAAAAACTCCACCACCACCAACTCCACCAGAAACCCCACCACCACCGCTACCACCAAGTTCACCACCACCACCAACTCTAACAACAACAACCACCACACCAACAACAACAATAACGTCGTCCCGCCCGGCGAAGGCCCCGCGTGTCCCGTCGGCGAACAGCGCGCCGCTGTGAGTGGCGGGTGTGTTGACTCCGCGGAATGCTATCGGGGAGAGAGAGAGAGTTTGACGCGGGAGGCGGAGAGAGGCGTGGATTCGTGCGTTCGACTCAAACCCCAGCGAGACGAGATCATTTGCGTACTCGTGGTTGCATAATCGGCTGATCTGCGTTGGGGGGGGGGGGGGCGACGCTCACAACAACGAGCGGAGAGGCGGGCGGAAAAAGCGCATCAAGTTGGCAGAGTGGGGAACACAGGTGACGGCATCTGCCAGTCGTCGCAAATCAGTCAACTCCGTCTCAGCTGGGTCTGTCACTTTGTCCAGTAACCTCCTGCCAGCAGAAAGCTTCAGACACTTCACGTGGCCTCGAGGTGCACCTAGCCTGGCACAAGCACTGTGGTTTGACATCAGCGCCACTCAGTGGCGACTGGCGGCTGTTGTTATTGGTGCACCGGCTGATTGGAGGGGCGGGGGAAGGGAGTGGCGATGATGTTATTGATATTTTATTAATATTTCCTGGCGATGTCGCCGTGGTTGTGATATGCTAGTGGCGTGAGTTGCGATGGCGATGTTAGCGATGCCGCGGTGATGTCCGTGCTGCTGGTGATGTCGTGTTAATGGCAATGCCAAGCTGTGCAGGTGATGGTCGTCTTGGGGGTGTCGGTAATCAGCTGATTAGGGTGGGGGTGGGGCGGGTTGCGGGGAGGGGCGTGTCCCCACCGCTGCCCCTCCCCCCTCGTCCACCCCCCCTCCCCCTTCGTCCACCCCCCTTCTCCCCCCTCGTCCACCCCCTCCCCCCATTGGCTCGAGGATTCTGCGAGCTTAGCGCATTCCACGCTCCGACTATTGTTGACCCACAGCCAACGACACAACATCGGCGAATCGATTTGTTCGGATTCGTCATCATCATCGTCGTCGTCGTCACATTGTTTTTGGTGCAATTGCCTCTCGCAATGTACATGACGCGCACAATCTCCACCATCAATGAATGATAATAATCACGAATAAAACATATCTCATCACGATAATTAGCTATTTCACAGCCACGGCTGAACGAATGCCCATTGCCATCATCAGCCATAATCAATCCACTGCTGGATGAAAGCCTCCATTGCCGTCATGCGATGTGATGTCACAATCCCCCTCCTGGCCCAGCGCGAGCTGATTCCATCGCTCCATCTCCGCGATGGATGTCCTCTCGTGCGTGTTCCCTTGTCGATGGGTGGCTGCGGTGCCGAGATGTTTACTCCTTCGCCTGGTACGCAGGAGATCGTGGGTTCGATCCCGATCCCGACCCTGACGTCTGCTGTATATTTAGAAAGTACATGTCTCTCTCTCTCTCTCCCCGTGGTCACATGGATCTTTCTCCGTGTCCCTCCGGGTTTCCAGCTCACCTTCACATGTCGAATCAACAACAACAACACGTTTAAATTTCGATTTAAAGCTTTCGTGACTGCAGGGATTCATCTTCGTGGTTCTTTCGGTAAAGTCACGTAGAAGGGAAATAATAAAATAATAAAAATCAAATCTAATAGGTGAATAACAGGTCTGTCGGAAAGACAGTGTCTTTCCGACAGACCTGTTCTTCACCTGAGGACGGCTGCTTGCGTTGTGGCCGAAACGTCGTGAGAATGATTTTATTATGTTTTATTATTATTATTTTATTATTTCCCTTCTACGTGACTTTTCCGAAAGAACCAAGACGATGAACAACACGTTTGTTAGGACTTGGCTGCTGGACATTTCCACGCACTAAGCCCCTTGTTGGCTGCCGCTCCATCGTTGGTCTTGAACACCGTGTTGTCCTCACCATCATCATCATCATCCCTCGTGACACATTGCGTGCCCAAGTCCACCCACGTCCCCCTGCAGTCCTCACCGCGTCTCTCGAAGCTGCGCGTCTCCTCTGATCCACGCGCTCTTCTTTCTGGCTTCCAGGGTAGCTCCAAGCGCGCGCCTCTCCACGCTACTAAAATAAACCGCACATTGCATAGTAGTAGGTTTTTACCCTTTTAAACTGGTACAAAACTGACACCTTTATTCAAGGCATCATGTATGTGCATATTATTATCATTATCAGAGTTGCTTCTTTTTGTTTGTTTTTTTGACTACTTGTGTTGTGGTTATTGCAAACATGATGCCTTGAATAAAGGTGTCAGTTTTGTACCAGTTTAAAAGGGTAAAAACCTACTACTATATTTTGCCACTGGTAAAAGAGATCTCATAGCACACATCGCGTGTTTCACTGATCCATGAGTCCCATAGACTCCCTTAGAGACCCAAAGACTGCCAAAGAGACACATACACTCCACCAGATGAAGGCCCACCTGGCTATCACTAATGATAGCTCGAAATGTATACGCAGACAAATTATGCTAAACGCACGTTGATTCGAAATGTGGAGGGGCAAAAAACCGGGAGAGCCCGCAGTGAAACATCCACGCGACCACGGGGTGCGAGAGAGCACATGCCAACTCCAAATGCATACAGCGGGCGTCGGGGTCGGGATTGAACTCACGACCTCCTGCATACCAGGCGAAGGAGTTCACGTCTCGGCACCCTGCTCAGCTCGCGTTCCACCTTCCTCTATGCCTGCGGGTGTAGTGCTCTATGCCTGCGGGTGTAGTGCTCTATGCCTGCGGGTGTAGTGCTCTATGCCTGCAGGCGTAGTGCTCTATGTCTGCGGGTGTAGTGCTCTATGTCTGCGGGTGTAGTGCTCTATGCCTGCGGGTGTAGTGCTCGACACCCATGGCTCAGCACCCTGGACGCGCATTGCAGAGGTCGCCGGTGCCATGCGACCTCCAGGAGCGCCACTTGAAACGACGGTGCCCGATTCCTGAATCCAGACTCAGCCCCACCGCAGCGCGCCAACGACCTCCTCGAACCACCCAGCAATGGACTCAGCGTGGTCCAGATGTCTTGTGACGCGCGTTTAATTATCTAAAACTTGATATTTTTGGAAGTAAATTTCTTTTGGGGGGTGGGGGTAGGCCTCGGCAAGGTAAGGTAATTGTACCCTTTTTACCGGGTAAAAGGGTAAAGGTAAAGGTGTCGACATGCCAAGGGGTAAGGGTAAAGGGTAGGGTAAAGGGTAGGGTAAAGGGTAGGGTAAAGGGTAGGGTAAAGGGTAGGGTAAAAGGTAGGCTCGTTGCTTTTTACCTTTTACCTTACCTGCTAAATGGTAAAAGGTAGGGTAGAGTGATTGTATTGTGGTAAGGTACAAGGTAGGGTAAAGGTAAGCTCGTTGTTTTTACCTTTTACCTTGCCGAGGCCTAGGTGGGGGTCATTTAATTGGGGATCACAAGACATCTGGACCATCGCCGTATATCGCTGCACCTCAGTCGATGGCCAGCAGGTTGCTACTGCTGGGGGGGTAAAGCGTGGGGGGCCTTCCAAGACGTCTCGGCGAACGTGGAATATTGGCCTCAGTGCACCGTCTCTTTCGATAGCCAGAGAGACAGACATAGAGGGAGAGAGACGGTAAGAAGTTCCCTCGAGTGGACGCCCTTCCGCCAACAGTGGCGTGAGCCGGCATTTGCAGGGGCTGCGCCTGTCAGAACGGGACGCCGAGAGCCACCACCGCGCCGCCTCGGGTGGAGTTCACCAGGAGGGGGCGCACGCGCACCGCACTGGGGGGGGGGCGTGGGGGGGGCTTCGTGGCTGGGGAAGATGAAATTCACAAATCTCGTCCCTCACCCGCGAGACCGAGTCCGCGGGGATACGGGGAAGTGGGGGGGGGGGGGCTAATCCCACCCCTTCCCACCACATTCAGAATGATTTAGAAATGCACTGATGTTTATAAGCATCTAACACTACGCAAACACAGTTTCCATCCACGTGTTCATTGCATGTGCAGTGCCAAACAATAACATTTGTGCGTTGCTTTTTGCAAATCGTTGTATAAAAGATAACAAAATAAAAGTAATAGCGATGGTTGCACATCGCGCGAGGCACTCATTTGAGGCCGAGTCCACCTAGGGGAGTCGCAAGGACTAATTTTCATGATCGTCACTGGTGTTGATAGCCGTGAGCGGGGAATCGAATCCATGGAAAAAAGCTCGATGAGCAGCGCGCTAACCATTGTGCCACCACTCTCTCATAGATTCTCTCTTCCGTCATTCTTGTTTAACCACTTTTAAGAGGTCAATACACTCGCAGGGTATGTCAATGCTCCAGTGGCGCAACCGGTTAGCGCGCGGTACTTATAAGGCAGTACTTGCCCTGGCCATGCCGAGGTTGTGAGTTCGATCCTCACCTGGAGCAGAGGGCTTTTTTTTATTCAATTGACCTCTCAGGGGCATCGGTGATGATGAAGCTGTGGGAATACATGACATCACCCCCCCCACTCTCGCCACTTAAAACAAGTATAACCCGTAAAAACAAAGTTTTTCACTATACATCCTTTATATGCGTGGCAGCGAACTTAATATAAAGGATTTAAAAATATATTCGCCTGTGGAGGACGCGGGGATCGATCCCGCGACCTTTGGCATGGGAAGCGAGGGCGCTACCAACTGCGCTACTCCGCCACGGCCTGTGGAGGGGTTACGCTCTGGGCTCCTATACTGTGACGTTCAGCCAAAGCCAAGAATGAGTTCTATTTGAATATATGTAAAATAATTTTTTTTGCCTAACATTAATTGTCTGGCACAACGAGTCTGTGTGGAAAATGTCAGCTCGATTGGATAACGGGAAGTGGGTTAAAAAACGACCGAAAGATTTGCACGGTCGTAAGCAAGCAAGCAAGCACGCAAGCATGCGAACTTAATATAAAGGATTTAAAATTCAGATCAATCTGCTGTGAGATTTGCAGAAATCATGTTGGTCGTATTGTCTAGTTATTAACTTACCACCCCTTCCCATCAACCCTTCAAGGGACGGGTCCTGCCCAATTCCCAATGCTACGGTGCCTCGCCTGGTAAGCAGGAGGTCGTGGGTGCGATCCCGACCCTGACGCCTGCTGTATACCTGGAGTTTGTGCGTCTTTCTCCCCGTGGTGGCGTGGATTTTTCTCCGGGTGCTCCGAT